ACTTTGGTGGATTAAGAACTTCCTTAACACAACCACGCTCAATTAACTCTGAAATGGCCTCGTGGACAAAATCTTTAAACTTGAACGCCGGAGATCTATTGAGAATAACAAAATTCTCAGGTAGATCAAAGAAAGGAATTCTATAGCCTTCAACAATAGTGTTTATGATAAAGTCGGAGGGACGAATGGAATTGGACCAACAATCAACGTGTTCCCTGAGGAAGCCAACTTTAAACAAACAAGAATCTGAAGACTTTTCCAAATCAAAAACATCACTTGGTTGACTTATCTGATCTTCCTGTGAGTGAAGAAATGAGATTGGGGCAGTTGCTTCTCCAGTGTCCTTCCGATCCACAAGCAAAGCAGGTTCCTCTCCTAAACTGAGATCTGGGCAGAAATGCGGCTTGTCGAAACTGAATGGACTGCAGTCGAAAGGCCTTGACAGGATCGTCAGCGCCGAGGCGTGATTTAGATTTGTAATTAGCAGAACCTGATTTAACCTGCAATTTCTCTTTTTTAGAGTCAAGGACCTTATTTGCCGATTTTTCAGCTTTAGAAATACGGCGTTCGTTCTCAGGAGTATCCGCCAAGTCGTCAGTAACGTAAGCCGAAACCGTGGCCCAACCACACTCGGATCGATCGGCCAGCTTAATTAATTTTGGAAGTTCAGACAAAAGCTTCTTACCCTCTTCCGGCTCTTTTTTTTTGCCTTATTCAACCTTTTTTTGTCAATGGCGGAGATAGTTGAATCAAATCTGGCTTCCACTGACTGGTTCAACTTGAACTGTTTCTCGTTTCCCACTTTTTAAATTTCCACTTAATGGAATTATCTTCTTTGACTCTTTTAACGAAAGAACTTGAGCACCCCTCTTGATCTTCAGAAATAGATCTCTTGAGCTCTTGTAATTTCGAATCAACACGTTCTAAGATCGCGCCTTGACATTTCGCTAAAAGCTGGGCAAGTTCCTCCTTGTTGATAGTGAATGACTCGAACGCTGTAACAGCAAGACCGGGATGAAAGACAAAACAAGCACGCCCAAATATATACCCCTTCTAATTACCCACATACCAGCGCACACGCCTAAACAAACGTAAGATACCGATGAGAGCATATTTTCCTGCTAATTACGAAGTCAAACGCAGGAAAATACTATTCTCCTCAGACGATTTTTAAATCCCTCGCGAGCGTGCGCGACCTGGCTTTGCCCCAAAAGAGGGAGCAAGCCTTTCGTTTCGGAGTCACGTGACTTGACCGTAGGAGCCTACTGACTTTCATGCGCACAGACTCTGGGGAAAGAGGCAGGAAGTCTCCAGAAAATCATAGGGGAGTGCAGAGTCTCAGGAATGCAGTCTGCGATGGCGGTTTTGGGCAAAAAATGGTATTGGCCAACGTCGCTTACCAGCGAAATGCTGTACAATTCAGTATGTTTTTAACTTAACCTCAAAATCTTCCTTCTTTCTACAAGTGGCAAAACCATCCAATAAAAAGATATACGCCTGCAATAGCCACGTATGATGCTTAATGACAGTTCGATGAAGGTTACATGTAATATATAAGTGTTCTTAAATTCAGCACAATCTCTCACTGTTCATAAGAACATTTTTGGCCTAACGTCGGTAGAAAAATTCTGGGCCGCAAAAAACAATATCCTCCAAAGAAAAAGATTGTGCTTTAAAAATTTCAAGGAGCGCCTGATTTGACAAGGCGTCGAATTGCAGTTCTTCCTCTTTCAATGCAGAGAAAGAAATCGATTGCATACACTAAGCTCTGTATTTTTTCTGGGTCTTTAAGCATAATTGAGGCCAACGAATAAAAAGGAGAAGACATTCTCTTCCAAATTACCCAATGACTCAAACTTTATTCAAGTTCATTTATTTTTTGCAGTGTCCAGTTCAAGGAAGGCTTGAGAGGTGGCTGAGTCTACAAGAAATGAGACACTTGCGTCGTGATCGTAAGGGAGAATATCTCCCTGCGATAAGCACCAAGAAGTGTCCTTGCATGAAAGCAAAATAGATTTCAATTATTAGCAATTATTGGATAAGGCTGAGTATAATATGAATATTGAATTATACAATGAATTATACAATGAATTATACGGTCTGCCGAGCGGGAGGCCGCTGGTTCAAGTCCCGGCCGGACCAACACTCAGGGTCCTTAAATAACTGAGGAGAAAGTGCTGCCTTTGTAAAGACATTCTGCAAACGGTTAGACTTTCTAGTCTTCTCGGATAAGGACGATAAACCGTAGGCCCCGTCTCACAACCCTTGCATATATAAATTCCGTGGGACGTTAAAGAACCCACACAATGTTCGTGAAGAGTAGGGGACGTAGTCCCCGGTGTGGTGGTCTATCTCTCATGGGGGAGGGACTGTTACGGGCCCGCAGTAATTGGAGTCACACTGTTGCGGTGACCCTGCCAATAAAATTACGCAGATCAACAAGGGTATGGCAATTTGACATAACAGGATTAAAAACCCCAATTGACAGGAGGTAATGAGTTGGCTATTTAATTAAAAGGATATTAAGAAAAATCTAGTGGGTAAGGTTCAACTGGGAACAAAAAGCTCAAAAGGTGTTAGAATGCCTTGGCCAACGAAGCTGTAGGAAGCTTAAGCAAAGACGACGGCACGGAAAACGTCTCTTAAAAAGTGAGTCCACGCTGTTTCAAAATTTACCAATCTTATTCCATGTTGTTTCAATTTTTTCCAATCTTCTTTCTTGGCCGTTATTTCAAATAAGGGCCCGACCTCTCTCCTCCTGCAGAGGAAGGAAACAAAGTCAGCGGTCAAGGCCGGTACCTTACGCATGCGCGCACCGATATATCCGGTAGTAGCATGAAAAAGGTGAACAGCAAGTTCACTATTTCAAGCCAGACACTTAAGGTGATTGATAGTATTCCGGCCGTGAGATTACGTACAAAATTGTGACAAGGTTAAACCGCAACGTTTTGGACCATTGGATTGCTAATAAAGAAATTAAATTTACTGCAAAAACCTTGGACGAAGATCCTGCTAGTTATAAACGCTGGATCTCTAGAAAAGAGATCCAGTCACCCAAAATATTAAGAACCAAAAACGAGAAGTCCAAAGACTACCGCAAAGCTGGTCAGAACAACGTGTATTGCTTTTTCATAGCAATATTTCGGCTGGCCATACTAGCCTTCTTCAGGCTTACAGATGTAAACCTGAAGAAGGCTGGTATGGCCAGTCGAAATATTGTAACGAAAACACATTAGATCGCTACACTCATCTTTTGAAATTATGAATGACCACTAGGGGAAACACCCTCATTACTTTTTACTACAGTTTTTATACTGATTTGAATAATTATGCCTTGGACTTAGTTTTCACTTAATAACCGTCAACCGTCAAACGCTTGTTTTGCACAGATACCACTTTAAATTTTGCAAAGTGACTGTGCCGGATTTAACCAGATAAAGGGGTATTATATGATAGAGACAGAATTTAAAGAGGATCGAAACTGAGCACAGGTCGAGGAAGAAGTGATATAATCACAGACCAAATAGGCTGTCACTAAACCAGCGTGGTCCTGAGTCCCTTTTACCTCGCCGAGTACAACAACAAATCTACCTTTGGTTACGAGTTATTAATACTCTCATTCTACTCGTTCAAAACTTCGTGGATGGCTCTAATACTTCGAATATCGCTGAGACACAATTCAGTGGCAAGTTTTGTTATGAGCTACTTTAAGGTGAAGCCTCATTTCTTTGGAATTATGGTCATGTGACTAATTTAGTTGCTTAACAGATACGTTTTCAAGTCAGGTACTTCATTATGTGTTATATGAATAATTCTGATACCAATCTGTTGTCATTAAAGATGGTTTTCAGGTACTTTAAGTCCCTGCTTCTTTTCCCTGCTAGAAGACAAACACATTTTAAATCCACCTTTATGGCCATCGGTGCAAAATAAAAATTTTCCGACAACATTTTTTTAGGTTCCTTAGAGTCCCCTTAAAAAATCTAAATAGGTGGCTTAATTTTTTCACAAAAATCCCACGGAACTTTATTTTTGACATATGCTCCCTGCCACTATCGTCCGTGAGCACCTTGTATCGGACAAGGCTTGGTATGTCTACAAACACATTGCTTCATCTCAAGCTTGCAAAGAGTCCTGTTCTACGGATATTTCACTATCCCTGATACAGCCGCATCTGGATTCCGGTTAAAGATTAACGAACGGCGATGATATAAAGTGGGAGAAACCTATTCTAAATCAACAGACGAAATATGCAAAACTGTAGCTTAGCTGTTATTTATGCTGTAAAGTTTCTTTTCTCTCACCATTGTTCCTCTATCAAATTTTGATCGCTTTCATTGAAATCGTTGTAATTAGCATATTCAAATTGTAACTACTTCTACAACTTAAGATATTCAAAATCAACGAGCTTCTACAACTAAAGGGCATGGCATAAGTTTGCCGATACATTTCTTGTAAATTGAAAACTGTTGTGTCATTTCTACAAATCACAACGAATTTTCTACTCTCGCGTCCGTTTGGTAACTGGTTCTACTAAAATGAGCGCCCACATCCCCAAATTTTAGCCTTACAAGCCCTTACGTAACGAGCTGTGTCACGAAATTCAGCCAAATTAGGAAATTACAAAATGCGCGTTAAATTAAGAGAAACATAAAATAACCGCTTAAAACTTTAAAGGAAGGTTAAAATAACATAACAGAAACAACAGATGCCAGAGTTTGACTAATAGTCGCGGGTCGCGGGTCGCGGGTCCAAAACTGTTCATGCTTGCAACCTCAAAAATAATGATCAGGAGACATATTTGTTTGTCTTGGATCTCTGATTTTGTCATTTACATGTAATTTCTTTGCTTACTTTAAGTTCCATAGCGATTTAGGGCGAGTAATTGGCAAAATAAAACAAAATGAACTGGACTGCCGTGACACAGCCCCTTTAATTTAAGTTATATGAATAATACTGAACACCCTCTCACCTAAATAAGTGGTATGGTGGGGTATAGATTACATAAAACAGCAGCAGCAACAACACGCGTGAAAGCAACAATTAGCAGGGATATTTCTAGACGTTTTAGCCTTTAAGATCATGTACATTAAACCCTTCATAAGAGTTGTAAAAATTTTGTGGCATGGTCCGGCCTTGGAGATGTAATCTGATGCCAACTCATGTAGCCTTTTGCTGTCAAAAGGATCACCATGTCCCGGAAAGACAACATCCACATGGTTGGAAAGGTCTTGCACTCTTCTGAAGGTCCGAACGTATGCGTTCACATCACTCTGGGGTAAAAAATCAATCAGGGGTCCTCGATTGTACACTGTGTCCCCACTGAAAAGGATCCTCGCCTTCTCGTCGATCAAACCAATGCTCCCTGGAGTATGGCCTGGGAAGTGTAAAACGCGCAAGCTTCGATCGCCAAGATCGAAAACGTGTCCTTCCTCCAAGACAGTCGACGGCTCGGCGGCTTTAACTCGGTAGTCGGAAAATTTCCATCCTTCGCTCGGGGGTACAGCAAGTGAATCACTCCTTAGGAAAACCCTGGCTATGTCGTATTGGTTACCGTTGCGTATCGCGTCCGCCTCGAGGCTGTGAATGGCGAACTTCTCAAACTGGTGTAGTCCTCCCGAGTGATCGTAGTGCATGTGAGTGGCAACTGCTTGGACTGGTTTCTCACCAATCAGACCCTGTTGTCGCAGAAAGCCTGGCAAGTCCCACAAACCGAGACCAGTGTCGATAACCAAATCCGAAAACGAACCTTGTACGAGCCATATGTTGGGTTGGTTATAAAGCGACTCGTAGAACACTTCACGTAACATAAACACGCCGTCATGTACCTTTTCAACGCTGAATGGTTGTTCATCTAGTTGCAGTTGTTCTTGACTCATTCTCGTTTTTAAAAGCAACTGTAGAAACTAGAATGTTCTGGTGCTCTGATTGTAAACAAACTGCTACTTAATCGATCCCATAATGCATAACAGTCACACAATAAAAACCGGATCACGCGATCACCCAATCACGCGATCACGCGAAGTTTTCCAGTCCTCGACAAGTTACACAACAAGATAAAAAGTACAAAGACAAACAGCAAAGAAAAAAAAACACACCAGGAAATACGGAATACAAGCTTTAGGCCATGACACACTGTTCAACATCTGTTGATCAACAAAGCAAGAAATTTTGCAGCTCAGTCTTGTTTAACAGTGTGTCATACCTTGTTGAACATATATCACGTTGAACGTTGTTAACCGGAAACAAAGAGATGGGGCCTAGCTATTCGGCTCATTCACTTTTATTTCAATGACAACACCTGGGGGTTTTATCAATGGGAGGTGTGCAACAGCCGATTTTGGTGTATTATTAGTGATCTTAAGCAAAAGGACGGCAGAGGAAAGAAGACGGCAAACCTTGTGTGACAAGCGTGACAATAATTTTGTTTGACAAAACTTTTCGCCAAACTTCACCCTCCTTTAAACAGATCTTTTTGTTAAAGACCAGAAAACAGTGATGTTAGGTAAAGATCACGACGAAACAAGCAAATAATATTATAATAGCCTGTCACGTTTGTCACACACAAGCGTTTTGCCGTCGTCCTCTTTTTGCCGTCCTGTTGCGTAAGCTCATGATTAGCTCTACACCATGACAGTCATTTCTGTCATCACTGGTGATACTGGTGGGAATATCAACATCTCTATTTTACAATAATGATATTATTCTGATTTGCACAGTCGAGGGGCAGGAAGACCACTTCTCTTATGCTGAATTTTCATGGAAAAACAAGGGAATTTTGTTATTATTAATTAAAGCTTAGTGATTATTTAACATGGAACAAATTTGAACACAAGGCTAGAGCAATAAGTCAGGGGCACCCAACGAGAATATAGTTCAAAACCACTTGAACATAGCATTGTTGAACGTATTTTAGTATTAAAATGGTAGGTATAGGCATATTTTTATCCCCTAAAAATTTTTCATCTGTTCGGATTTCCTAGCTGAAAGTCTAGTGATTCGAAACTTATAGGGATCAAAACTTACATTTTCGAAAATTTCAACCAGAAAAAAGGCTCCCGAAAATTGTAGGGTCCATTTTGAGGTAAAAATCCGTTAAAAATGGGCAATTATATTATTTTTTAGATGTTCGAAAATCCTAGGAGAGGCAGACAAGCAAGAAATTTTGGAAAAAATGTTCCGAAAATTCTAAATCTCAAATGGTCTTCCGAACAGATATTTTCCGAAAATTGTCGTTGGGTGCCCCGGATAAGTGCACTACTTAAAACAAGTATAATCGCTAGGTTACAGAAGCATGCATAGAAGCATAACGTTTTGGCACTATGCTATCATTCTATATTTCATTCCTGTGAGAAGTCATGAGAAGTTAAGATGAACTCAACAATGACCTGCTCCTAATGTATGAATGTATCAATTCCGAGTTCTTGACCACTATTTCGTGACCTTGACAGCTTCCATACAATTTTGGACAAAAGAGATGGGAAATTTATACCCCCTCTCCCCACAATCAAGGATGGGAAAATGGCGCGTTTTGGGGTAGAACACAGCTCTTTACAAGGCCTCACAAGATTGGCATGTGAAAACAATAGACATGGAAATATAACAATGACTCTATCCCTAAAACATTTTTTGGGGATGGGGTTTGCAGTTCCATTTTATTCTGTCCAAGATTTTAGTAGCTGACAACATTGGTCTCTTTTCCAGTCCACGAGGACTTTGAGTAGATATTGGATAGCATGATAGAATCTGTCAAAAATAACAAACAAGGATAGACAGACCAGGACATACCAGAGGAAATACGGATTTCAAAGGCTTTAATCGGCAATAATCAATGGGGTACTTACTTTGTTACTTATTAATTCAAAATATTTCTCAGTTTCTGATTGGCATAAATCCCTCTGCTAACTCTTCAGAACCAGCAAGCGGTGACCAACCTTGGATGATGTCTGCTGATATCAGATCAGTTGACGTCAATTGTTCTGATATCGATAGAAAAAGGGACATTTTTGTTTTTGGTAGAGCTGGAGCCTTGAAATAGTGGTAGATTTTACACATTATACGAGGAAGAAATAGCCCAACTGCTGCCCAAAAACATAACAAGAGAAGCAATATAAAACGCAACAGATGATAACCACTATTTGATGAATAACTGTAGAATATAGATCCCTCCTGTATCCTGAAACTCCATCGAGGAAGAAGCAAACGGCTCCCGGGGAGGGGATACTTGGGTAAATTTTTGCTGGGTATGTGCCGCTAGCCTGTCAGAGCCCCTACCCCGTTATAGTCTATTCTGTGGCCAATTATAGACCCAATCTTAGTCACTTTTGGGCAAATATGTAATTTTCGCGATTCCAACTTACTCACTTTCTATTTTTATGAATTGACCCATTTTTTAAACTGAATGAAGAACACGTTAATTTTCACCTACAGTACGAACTTTCTGGTACGTTTGCTAACCGTAAATATGGAGTACTGTGTTACCCCCCAAAATCCGGGTGCGACCCCATTGTAGTAACTGAACTCTATTGAAAATTCAACCTTATTATAGTCAATCCAGTCGTGAAAATGCGACCCCATCCAGCGGTACATCTCATTTAGCCTCTTATAAGGAAGTACCCCCGGGAAACAGCTATGACGCAGACTTAAACTTTACACGGATTGAGATATTCAAACCTCAAGGTCCTGTATCCCTAAGATCGTGTTCCCGTAATTATTATCCCGTATCTCGATAAACATTTACATTTTTACATTTACCGCGTACAGCCTACCCCTCACATTAGAGGATTATTGGACCCTATTCGACATCCTTCCCACTATATAGGGCATTTATAGCTAGATCGCTACAAGCAATAAGAAAGGACCCTTATATAGATATTACAATGAGAACAAAAAAACTTGCCTTTGAAGGTAAAAGAGCAGTGACGATTTCTGATAGTAGAAACACCCTTTTCGCATACCTTTCACTTAAAAATGGTACCCCTTTAAAAAACTGTTTTTAAACGAGAAGTCTCAATACAGGCATTTTGATTAAAAGCCCTTTTAAATACAAAAATGATATATTCTTCAACTCTTGAATTCAATAGTTCATGATATATGGTGGGGGGTGGATTACACCAAACAGCAGCAGCAGCAACAAGAATGAAAAAAGCACTTAGCAGGGATATTACCAGAATTTTTGGCTTTTAAAATCATATAGGAAACGCCCTTCATAAAAGTTGTGAAAATTTTATGACATGCTCCAGCCCTGGAGACGTAATCTGATGCTAACTGATGTAGCCTTTTGCTGTCAAAAGGATCACCATGCCCCGTAAAGACGATATCCACATGGTTGGAAACGTCTTGAAGTCTTTTGAAGGTCTGAATGTACGCGTTCACATCACTCTGCGGTAACCAATCAATCAAAGGCCCTGGATAGTATACTGTGTCACCACTGAAAAGGATCCTCGCCCTCTCGTCAATCAAACCAATGCTCCCTGGAGTATGACCGGGGAAGTGTAAAACACGCAAGCTTCGATCACCAAGATCGAAAACGTGTCCCTCTTCTAAGACTGTCGACGGCTCGGCGGCTTTAACTCGATAGTCGGAAATTTTCCATCCTTCGCTCGGGGGTACGGCAATGACATCTCCCTTCAAGAATACCCTTGCTATGTCGTATTGGTTACCGTTGCGTATCGCGTCCGCCTCGAGGCTGTGAATAGAGAACTTTTCAAACTGATGTAGTCCTCCCGAGTGATCGTAGTGCATGTGAGTGGCAACTGCTTGGACTGGTTTCTCACCGATCAAACCTTGTCGTCGAAGAAAGCCTGGCAAGTCCCACAAACCGATACCAGTGTCGATAACTAAATCCGAGGACGATCCTTGCACGAGCCAGATGTTGGCTTGGTTAAGCGACTCGTAGAACACCTCACGTAACATGAACACGCCATCGTGCACCTTTTCAACGCTAAATGGTTGTTCAGCCATTCTGATTTCTTTTTGTTTACGCTTAATTCCTCTCTTAAAAAACAAGAGAGGAACTGTGTTTCTGTTAATTGTAAACAAAAACAGCACTGTCTAAACATCCCATAATGAACAACAGTCACGCAATAAAAACTGCCTCACGCGATCACGCGAACCACAACAGGATCGCAAACCTCAGACAACTTTAATTGTCTTCGTTCTCTTTCCCTGCCCACGCCGACTAATGTAATAGGTACAGAATGGATTTGGGCCGCAAGATACCTTATTATAAGAAATGAACGCGACTTAAATAAACGTCAATTTAATGGAAAACGACACTCAAGGAAAGGAAATTAACGCGAAAGCGGAGTATAACATTTCAAAATGAAGGAAATTAACACGACACTCACAAACAAACAAAACGTGTTGAGACAACAGGATCGTTGTTAAACGCATAATAGAAACTTTTTTCTACTACTTTCTTTCCCAAAACAAAGGTCAAGCGAAAAGTCAAGAAATCTGGCCACTAACGGGGACCCAGTGGGAACGGGGCTTCTTCACAATTCTAATGATACTTCTCTTTCGTTGGTGTCAACAAAGTCTATCGAGAGTTTCTTCCCAAAACAATGGAAATTCAGATCGCAGAAATTAACGCTCCACTTAATTAACGGCGAAGAAATGAGCGTTTACAAGAATTAACGCGACTTGAATTTAATTCGCGTAATTTTTATGATGCGTTAATTATTATTGATAATAATGATAATGAATACAAGCTGGTGGAATCTGCTCGTGAAATCAAGTATTATGCCATATTGAAACCAAGATATTGTTGGAAAAATGATGCCCGGCTGGAGGTGTTTTAGCTCCTTAGTTATGCCAGATTGAATTGAAACTGTTTCTTCCCTCTACCGAATAAACATTTACACAGATGTCCAAAACATCTGAGATGTTTTTGATATTACCTTCAGATACAGGACATGTTATATAGTTTGTACCTTGCAATTTAACTGCCTGGCATAATGAAGAAAACCTAAAGCCGTAAAAATGATATCGCTTTAACTATGACTCAGACTGTTCAGCGCCACATACCCGTTTAGGCCAAAGAAGGAACTGCTCTCCCCCGCCCGGGGGATGGGGGGAGGGGGTATTCAACAAATTTTTATGCGGGGAGGCTTATACCATTTTTCACGAAAAAGGTACCCCTTTCGTATAACTTCTATTGACAAACGGTACCCCTTTCACATACCTTGTTTAGAACTTTACATCCCTTTGAATTGCTGTAAATGCATTGTCATTTAAATAGGAATCAATAAAAAAAGAACATTTTCACGACGTTATAAAGCCATAAAATTCATCCGTTCGGCCATTTGAGCCCTTTCACAGACTCAAATGACAAATTTCCCTACCCATTCATATACTTCAAAAAATAAAATCCCAACCCTTGCATATACCTGAAGCCTGAAAAAGGTACCCCTTTCGGGCGAAACCTCCGCGTATAGGCCACTATAGGGAGTACCCCCGGGCCCGGACAACTGAACACCGTACTTTTAGGGTCGTCTGAGGTATATGATATCAAACCTAAGATATCGACGGCTTTTAATTCAACTTTGGACATTGATCTGGCTGACAATGGCGAAAACTGTTAACATGCAATTAATTATTTGCACTGCAATATAACCTCCCATTATATATGTATGTTCAAAATGTCATGACATTTACAATGTACTTTAATGTTAACAACGCCGAGTGTTATGCTAAAAAATTATGCTGGCCGGCACCTTCATCCTCTCTTGGTTAGACCCTATTGAAATGCGCCATTCATAATAGTGATAGTTGTTGAACGATTACAGAGAATTCCGTTTTTAATAATTATTCCTCGAGCCCGAATAGCTCCGAATGGTCTCTGAGTCAATAGCCCATGAGGCCCGGAATGGGCTATTGACTCGGAGGCCATGAGGGCGATAGGAATAATTGTTTCAGTAAAATCCAACTAGTTGGTCAAAAACATCGGGACAAAACAACTTTATCTAGCAAAACGCGATTCAGCCGCCAGTTTTTTGGTTTTCAAAGCCGGCACTTTTCGCTGCTAGTGGGCTATAACATATAGCCTACTAGTAGCTCAACTAATCAGAACGCAGCATTGATAATAGACCACTAGTTGGATTTTACTAAACGTTGTTATCTCTTAAACAACGAAAGCTGTCACATTCGTTTGTCAACAAATGTTGAAGTATATGCCCCTGGATATCATTTTTGTGACTCTTCAAATCCCGATACTTCATCACCGGGCCCTTTCCAATTTCCGAAAGAAAAATCTCGACTCGTTCCCAGGTTCTCTCTCCTACTCTCGTTCCGTGGGGACGGGAAGGAGAGAACCCTGGGAAAGAGGTTGGGGAAAAGCCCTGGGAGTGAGTTGGCTGTTAGCTCAGGCAACTACTACTACCTGAAACTACCCACCTACCCCTCCCCTAAGCCAACATTATTAACACTTAGTTCTCACTTTGGGCAAAATGTTGGCTTAAGGGAGGAGTAGGTGGGCAGTTTCCCAGAAACATCTAATGATCCAATTTCCCTTATCCCTCGGTATCAGATTGCTAATTTAAAAAATCACAACACTGTCACCTAAAAAGCACTTAAAACCTGGAATGGTGCGAGACACAAGGGCTTTCTGCGAAGTGGTTCATTCAAAGAAAGACAGTCAAATATTTGCTTTATCGCAAAAAGGCACATTTACGAGCCGCATGACTAACGTTTTCTTTGGTTATGGGGGGTCGTTACTTGGTTTGGCAGGTATAGGCGGCTAAAAATGTGGCTTCGTTCTAAGCTTTTCAAAAAAATTTTTGATATTTGCTTACCGGTAAGTTTGTTATCGTCAGGAAGCCTGGAAGCGCTTTCAGCCTAGCTATTCGCACTAGAGGTTCGTGTGATAATCAAGGTTACAGCGATATTTCGCGTTACGTCACCTATCGATGTTTATTAGTCAACCAGGGCTTCATTTGCTCTTTGAAACAATGGGTGTTTTTGTTTCAGTGGTTGGTACATTTGAATAACAAAAACAATGTTCACAACTAGAAATATCGCTGTTGTAAAAGGCAGTTGACCCGCACCGTTCTAAACTTCTTATTTCATTAGTCCTCTTTAATCTGCACTATCCATTGTTTTCAGGGACAGGGGCATTGTTATGTCCCTATCCCTATTGTTTTTCCAGCCAATCACAAACAATCTTTCAAATAGGTGCAGAACGCCCCCTAAAGGAAAAATTGAAAATTTGCATTGCCAATAAACCTTTGCCCATAAATCCACCAGAGCTGCGAGGTTTGTGCTTTAATTTCCATAAAAACGTTATTAGCGACGAAACAAAATGATCTGTGACCTAAACTGGACAGATATACAGTGGGAAACCGCCTTACGACCACCTCGTTAACACGGTCATCTCGTTATTACCACCACTCCTTTTTAGCCGCCCGGCAAAACGGCCATACATTTTCTTGTAAAAAAACCCTGGCTAATACGATCACCCGTTAATAACGGCCAAATTTGGTGACAGTACTGAGCTGATTCAATAAAGATTCCTTTGGGTATTGGTAATTGGGTACTGGAAATGTATTGTTTTGTGGTCACTCACGCAAATCATCGTATTGTTCTGTATGCCCAAACACCCAATGCCCTATTGTCAAAGCAACCTTAATTGAATTAGGTATATGTATCTGGTTTACTTTATACAAGTGATATCCCACAGAATGATAAGCCTAGAAATTATGAGACTCTACGGGTCGGTTATTTAAACGAAATCTATGTAAGACCGCGGTTTAGGAAGTCTTTGGACCTACAGAATCTCCTCTTCAGTGGGCTATTTAAAGACAACAAGTGCTTTTCTAGTCTACGCCATATGCTTTCATGAAATTGTTCACGAAAAATGCTGTTTACGGAAAAGCGTTCGTCAAACTGAAAATGGCTTAGAACGCGGTTTCGTTTAACACTGGCTAAACTCCGTTTAAATAACTGGCCCCTACATGTTTACCCATGACCCAATCGTTCGGGGTGACTCAGGAGTTCTATTGTATGCAACCTCATGTCCTGAGCTGTTTCCCTAAGAAAATAAGAAGGACGGAAGAGGGGGCGGGGGGGACCTCTCATTTTCTAAGAGGAAAAGCCCTGGCAACGAGGCTGCATTGTATGCAGGAAGGAAATAAACTAAACACCTTCTAGCTCTTGGTGAGAGGTGTGGTGGGGTATCTGTAGACTACAACAAATAGTAAACAGTGGCAGAAACAGCTAGAGTGAAAACGGCAACACTTAGCAGGGATATTACTAGTGAGAATTTTTGGCTTTTCAGATCGTATAGGAAACACCTAATCTTGTATTCAGATCACCCGCGGCCAAAAAGCGTAAGACAGAGTGAGATCTGGGTACGAGACTAGGACACTGACTCTACGGTCAAGGATTAACTGGGTCTGCTTAAATGAGCGCCTAGATCCTCAAAGTTTAGCCTAACAAGCCTTAATCATTATAGTATAATATAATATTACTAAAAACCCTCTGTTTATAAGGGGTGTGATGAGCGTAAATTACTTAAAACAGCAGCAGCAACAGCACGAGTGAAAGCAACAATTTGCAGGGATGTCACCAGACGTTTTAGCCTTTAAGATCACGTACGTAACACCCTTCATAAAAGTTGTAAAAAATTTATGACATGGCCCGGCCTTGGAGATGTAATCTGATGCCAACTCATGTAACCTTCGACTGTCAAAAGAATCACCATGTCCCGGAAAGACAACATCCACCTGGTTGGAGAGGTTTTGCAGTCTTCTGCAGCTCTGAACAAACGAGTTTACGTCACTCGTGGGTAAAAAGTCTATCAGGGGATTCGATTTGTAGACTGTGTCTCCACTGAAAAGGATCCTTGCTTTCTCGTCGATCAAACCAATGCTCCCTGCAGTATGACCGGGGAAGTAAAACGCGCAAGCTTCGATCGCCAAGATCGAAAACGTGTCCTTCCTCCAAGACTGTCGACGGCTTGGCGGCTTTAACTCGGTAGTCGGAAAATTTCCATCCTTCGCTCGGGGGTACAGCAATATCAGCATTCCTTAAGAAAAACCTAGCCATATCGTATTGGTTACCGTTGCGTATCGCGTCCGCTTCGAGGCAGTGAATAGAGAACTTCTCAAACTGATGTAGTCCTCCCGAGTGATCGTAGTGCATGTGAGTGGCAACTGCTTGGACTGGTTTCTCGCCAACCAAACCTTGTTGTCGCAGAAAGCCTGGCAAGTCCCACAAACCGATACCAGTGTCGATAACTAAATCCGTGGACGATCCTTGCACTAGCCAGATGTTGGCTTGGTTAAGCGCCTCAAAGAACACTTCACGTAACATGGATACGCCATCGTGCACCTTTTTAACGCTGAATGGTTGTTCATCCATTTTGATTTGTACTTTGTCGCTACAAAAGCAATCGTGAAATCGTTCTGCTCTGGATGTGCTTATCCCATAATAGAAAACATTACAAATAGTCACGCAAAAATAACTGGATCACGCGATCCTGACAACCTTGGAAAGTTTTTGAAATTAGACCAAACGATTTAATCCAAAGCTAAGGTTGTTAACTTTCTTTTGTCACTTTTCAAAATTAACCTGATCATACTCAACCCGGCAAAATCGTGTCTTAAGTTTTATCGCAAAATATATATGAAACTTGGTGGATTCCGGCAAGTGTTTGAAAACTACTGTTGTTTAGGTGACGGCTAAATTTGCAATAATCTTACTCTATAGACAAAAACAAAACAATGTAGCTGTTAATTAATACCTAAATTTTGTTTATACAAAACTACAATTTAGCCAATAATTGATATATACGAAGTGGGTTTGCTGATTTATTTTTTGGGCTGCAAAGTCACTATAGCAAATTTTTCACTTACAGTTGCACCCGTTTGAAAACTGCGGTGCAAATGAGAATCTGTTATACGGAATAATATTAACAAAGAACAGGGAAATTGAATACTGATCTACTTTCCTTTTCAAATATTGAGAATTTCGCTTCAGAAAGATCTGAAAAATCTCTCCTTAGAGTACCTCTACTCGATTACAAAGGGAAATAACAATAAACTGAAAAAAAAATGATAATAAAAAATAATTAATCATCAAGGCTGTAAAGGGGTCGGAAGGAATATTTTGCTTTTCAGTTTTACACAAAGCAGATATACAGAACCACTCAAAAGTGTTACAACTGGACGTTTTATTTCGTTGGGAAAAACGTTGAAGGCCCTTCGCATTGCGAGGATTACATAAAGTACGTCACATAAGCCACTGAAAGCGACTTCTTTTTGTTAATTACAATCTGCAATAAACTTTTTCTCGTCATAGGTCATTATTTTTACAAATAACATTCACAGAACATAAGTTACGTTAGGTTTGCCTCTTTGACGCTTCATTCAACTGAAGAAACGTACACAGTATTTTTCGAAATAAATCCCGTAAAAATCTGGGAAAATAAATACGTCACATTGTTTCACGCTTGCATTCACTCGTTCTGCGTCAATAAATAATTTATAAAAATATGTCAAACAATTCTTTAAATATATTAAACCACGTCATCAAAAATAAGTTAAATTATTAAATAACCAAGAGTTATATATTAAATTTAAATTCACACCGATACACTCCAAATTCTAATGATATTTCGTCCACAGTCGTCAGAGAATTAATTTTTTTTTAGCTTGCCCATTGAAACGAAAGGTGTTGGACGAAAAATGGCAAAATTTCGCCAAATAATTCTCTTTCTAACTTTCACGATAAATAGTTTTTGAACAGAAACTTTATCACTGAATTCCCTATCCAGAAGGCGCTTTGGAATTTGCATCCTTAAACCATAAAATGATTGTGTTCAGTTTCTTCAAGAATCATTTATCACTTGAGTAGGTAAATATAAAGAGAGTAAGAGTGTTTTATCTCACCTACAGACATATTTTAACCACACCTCTAGGTGTTCGGCAAACGGGCAGAAAAAACCTTCCTTTTCGTGTTATAAATATTACATTAATCTACGCCTCTCATGAAATTTAACAGTTTAAAACACTCGTCACAGTTTAACGTCAGTTAAGGACGAACAACGCAAATGATACTTCACAAAATGTATGACTTAAACGCGGTCTTTTTTTCGCTTGCTTTCTGTTTTTCCTTCGGTGATGATCTTTGCTATCTTCACACACGTTTGATTTCGGCCACTCTTACTGGATTGACCAGCTTACTTTGAAATAAAAACGTTTAAATACCTCCTTTTTCAACATAGAAAAAACGTACGGTATGTATGACTGACACTTTAGGGATGCCCGCTTAAGTTAAATTTGTACATGGCAAAGGAAATGTTTTCTTTCGAGTCTATGTTACGTCGTAAAATTTACAAATTTTGAAGATTTTTCTTAAAAATGACGGTCATATTAAAGAAGAACTATTTACAATGAATGAAAGGTAGTTCTAAGAACACTTAAAATAAGTAAACCTTTAATTTTGGGCAATACCACATTGAACATATCCCATTACAACAGCTAGATTGAATCTACTTGTTAAAATCCTCGAAATATAAAACTTACAAAAAATTGAAAAAGAGAAAAATTGTTAGGTGCGGACAAAAGAATGTCTTGTTTTGCCATCTTTACACTAAAACACAACGAAGATTGGAAACAATTCAAGAAGAATATAACAATGGCCGTTTCAATTTTAGAAAGATGGAATGAGGTATTTCAATAATGACCATGTTTATGATGGGCATGTCGAATGTGGTATTATTTCCACAAAATTAAAACGAATGGCTTAAATGGTTATTCCTTTACTTAATCGGCGGTAAAAATTGTCCACCCTCAGTGACAGTAATGTCTTCAGTTCTCTCTTCTTCAATTTCTTTTCCTTTATTCGCGGTCCCCGGCTTCTCCTTTACCACCCCGGACGAAACTCTTTTAGTCAGCGGTGGCACAGAGCTCTTTGACTCTATTCCAGTCTCTTGTTGCTTTACAATCTTGTTGCTGTTGTTGTTGTCGTGAGGGACAGTATGCGTCGCGTCCGCTCCGATTGGTTGCAGTCTTTCCCGCGTTCGAGCGCTTCGTTTGGTCCAGCCGCCTTCAATATGCGGTTTACTGGATTCCGCGGTACTTGCTTTAGTAGTCGTCTCTGAGGAGTTATGCGTGTCGGAGTGGGCCTGGTGCCGAGATGTCAAGCGGGACATACCGCGATGTCTCTGCCGACCCTGAAATACAGAGTTTTAAAACTAGCGGTTACAAATTTGTGTAATGTTGAGAGCAGATGCTGGGCAGTAAAACAAACTGAACACCGATGAACTGGCATAAAAATTTCCCTAATTACAGACCTTTTTATTGGTTCAATGTGAGATAATGGACTACAAGGGATTCCTAAAACCACAAGTTCTTTGTGATTTGGGTCTTTATTGGCCAGTTTACAGTTAAACGAAAATAATTTGAAACTGTTTGCGCGCGCCACAACATGCGAAACTTAGCGTAATTAGAATTATGCAATAGGTGTGTTATGTATTGAGCGCTGGCCATTTCTGCTAAAAATCATCCTGACACAAAAATCACCTACATAGGGACAGGACCCCCACGGAGCCACAGGACACCCAACGGTTACTGTGCTGCTCGGCTGGGGACTCGCACCAATTAGATTGATGATAGATCGTAGCTAACGAAACTACTGGACTGACAGACTTAAGTATACGCCCTTTTTTGTGTACCTCTTGAATCCACTCGTGCTGAAACGCTTCGTCAGGCGTCAAACGAGTCGATGGATCCCAGCTAAAAGAAATGAAAAATAACGATTAATGACAAAATTAATAATAATGATATGATTATGATGATGATGATGATGATGATGATGATGATAATAATAATAAATCAAAAATATGAATATGAATATGAATATGAATCCAAGGGCAAACCACTACCCTAAAAATGACAGAGTACCCCTCTCTTGGGTAGGGGAAAGTTTAGCCCCCTTACAACAGAGTTAAATAAAAAGAAGGTACTCACTCAAGACAACGATGAAGGAAGTCCACAAATAACGCATCATTTGTTTTCAATGCTGCGTTGAGTTCCTTGCCGTTTACTTGGCGTTTCTTTCCTTTTGAGTTGGTCATACTTCGCGGGTTGCCTTTCGAATCTACATATGAAAAACAAACTCTTAATAACTTTCACGAAGATTTAAATCAGGAATCTACAAAATAAAAAACAAACTCTTGTTAGTCTCACTGAAGGTGATCAGGAGCCAATACACAAAATATATTGGTCATGTTTGCCGCGGTCCTAACACTATGTTGACAGAGACGATGCTATTTGCGAAGTCGAATTGTCCATATAAACGCGATCGTTGGATAAACATCTCTAAACTATTAAATTTGTCTATTGAGCAAGCAAAGAGGTATACGAAAGATAAGAGTGGCTTCGCTGCATTGGTTGACCGTGTAGTCTCCATGGTAACATGATTACTGATTACTGACTGCCGCCCCCCCCGCCCCTCAACATTTTGCATAACCTTTGTTTTTTATTTCTCCTGGGTATTACAGCCGTCCCAAGAGAAATTGAAGGAGGAGGAGGAGTCCGACTTCCGTCTGGGTGATTTTCATCTAGCGGCGGAGCAAATGAAAAAGCGATAGTGTCCCCCAAAGCGTCCCATAGAGTCGTCTGAAAAACCACCGACCCACTCTTACTGTCAATGACCTCAAAATGAGAAATAAACATCTCGCTGTAATTTGCGTTACCCTAATAACGAAGCTTCTTGGCAAAATCAACAAGGAGGAATACGCAGGAGAACGAGCAGGAGTAGGAACACTAGCTACCCTGGCTAGCGGCAAAAAAGAGGGGCTGAAAAAAATAACATCACAAGTAAATTCTCACCAAAAAATAGCCGCTTTCTTCCAGCAGGCTCGAGAACACTAGATGGTGGCTTTCCTAAGATCTGCAATTTGTAATAAGAACGTTTGCACATAAATAATTATTACACAAACTGCAGTATTTAGAAGACAAATCACATGATCTTAACGCTGTAAAAGTACCCCCCCGAGAACGAGCGAGTCTTCGAGGGCGTTCGGCAATCTTTGTAAAGTGATCGCCAACGTTCGTATCCAGTCCGGATAGGCTAAGTTTACTTCTTTACATCAGCAAATCACAATTTTTCACACAGGCGGACAGCGAAGAGTAAAACCTGCCTATCAGATTACAGTTATTAGTCCAGAATCGACTCCGGAAACTTTTAAAATTGAAGCAATTATAATTACAAGGGTCGACTAAAAACAAAACCTCTAAAAGACAAAGGCTGATAGACTGCGAGCAGTCTATCATTTTTCGTTGCAAAGGTACTCCACGAGTCACCCAAGCACGCGAGCCGCGACAAACGAGAGCGCAAGCCCGAAAAGAAAATATATGCCCGTCTATCCTCGTCTCGTCCAAATCTCTTATTGTGGCGTCGTTGGTTGCAGTCGCGCTGACTGGGATAAGAAATGGACAGATCTTACGAGAAAAGGCGGACTGCAAGCAGTCTAAAACGATAAAGGGAAAAATCATTTAAACTCAGACTAATGCAAAGGCCACTTGGTCAAAGAGCAGCGAAGTGAAGCCAGATCTTAGAGTAGATAAGATAAGTAATATTAAAAAAAGTTAAATCATAAAAAAGTAGTCACACGCACCTCCATAATACATGCTAACTGTTCCACTTCGTTTTCACCAGGAAATAGTGGATATCCGGTGTAAAGTTCGGCAAGGATACACCCTAAACTCCACATATCAATAGCCATGCTATAAGGAATACCTAGGAAAAAAAATGTTAATAAAGAATAAAAAACGACGGTCTTTCGTTCAACTTTAGAATGAGCAACAAAGGGACCAACTTTTCGAAGGGCTACATCTTCGGGAGTTTTTTCACCTAAGATTAAAGGGGGCCGGTAGGAAGTAAATATTTGGCGCTCAGGGTCGGTGGGAACTTTTTTGTGAATCTAGGTTTTCGGTTGAAAGATCAGTGAACTAAAGGTAGTACCTCAAACTTACCGAGAATAACTTCGGGCGAACGGTAGAAACGGCTTTGTATGTACGTATAAACTGTGGAGATAAAAGACGGATGAAAAAGTGAAAATATATTTGGGAAGTTGTCAAAACAATCAAATACAGACAGGACCCACTGTTCCACGGAAAGTTTAGTGAGTCTTTTCCTACCCTCTTTCCCCATCTTAAAAGGTGTCGTCTCCTTTAAATAGCCCCCTATCTATCTGTACTAGAAAGGTATGAGATTTAAAGTATTTGTGAAAATGCAAGCTTTATGGAAAAGGAAGATCTAAGTCTATCTCGAATTTTTAGGATAAACTTGCGTCCATCCTGACCGGGGTTGTTCAAACGTTGGATAGCGCTATCCACCGGATAAATCACTATCCAGCGGATAAGTATTACGGAAATCAATTACGCTATAAGCTGGATAGAGTTTTATCTGGTGGATAGCTCTATCCAACGTTTGGACAACCGGGGTTAGGTCCATAAGATGGGTGGTGTCTTGTGTAGCAGCCTTCGCACCTTCAGCCAAGGTAGACCCTCATAAAATCACCTGTTTTGTTTTCACCACTTCCCCTAGCCTGTTCCAGGCTCCGAGAGATTCGTGTCACGAAAATTGAGAAAGCCCGAACAGGAAAATAAAACGGGGCCGGGTTGTCCAAAGCAACCCAGGGTTAGTGCGAAAATTGAATTCAGATATGAAATCTTAAGAGGCAAATTCAGTTTAATTCTTTGACGATTGGATGCTCTAAAAAGAATAGAGAAAATTCTACGAGAAAATGCTTTTGATGCAAAGAAAGAGAGACCAACAGGGCCCTGGAGGAGACTGGGGAGAGGAAGGGCGCGGTTCTTCACAAAAGTTAATTTTTGTGGAAATTTAAGTGTTACCTTTTTGATGCTCATAGCAACTTGAACCGAAATCTATAACTTTTATTGCGCTCTGTCCTTTTTGTCGTAATAAAATATTTTCCTGAAACAGAAAAGAAACGATTAGAGCGATAAAGAGTCACAGAATAGGGTAAAAAAATAGAACTCCTTTTTAAAACGTTCTCATTTTTGCGATAGGAGCTAACAGCCAATCAGAAAAGACAAAGGAAATCAAATGCACCAATCACAAGTCGCAGCAAAAGGACGTCGCAGCAGCCATGCGCACTAAATTGCGTCACAGTTTTGCTTTTAGTAAAACTTACGCTCTACAGCCTAGTACTGAAAACTGTTCTATGGAATGTTTATTAAAAAGGACATCTTCTTGAACTTAGAGTGGGAATAAATAAAAAATGCAACAATAGACAATGACAACAGTGGCATCAAGAATAAGCACATGAAGCAAAATACCGGTTTTAAATCACAGTGGATAATTTTCTCTTTGTGTAACACTCTTAGGCACTGAAGTAACGAATACGCAAACCTACAAAGATGAAAGGCAGCACATTAGTATCTTATTAAAAACAAAACGGAACGGGGTTCTTGCTGTCGTGAGGGTTTAAAAGCTCCACGACTTTTCTCGGCCATCCTAAAGGCCTTTACAAAGTTTCTCTGACTTCAAGTTAGTTCCTTTCAGAACTGTGTCAAACAAACAATGATTAAGGAAACATAATTTAACTTTAAACCTCGTTTTCCAAAGAATCAAAAAGAAAAGAAGAATGAGAGAAAAGAATCATAAAGTTCTCTGACTTTTCAAGCAGGGCTGTGCTCTAGAAAAGCCCGACGGCCCCTGGCGCCTAACTTTGGGTGACTAGAAAATCTTACTTTTTTCATACAAATCATACATTCTATGCTGGGCTCCCTTTAATTTTCGTTAGAGCACAGCCTTGTCAAGTTACCCATGACCTTGCTCGAAACGAAGCGTACCAACATTAAAGATATTTTACGTAAAATTCCAATGGTGAGGGAAGAATACTATTAAAAATCGAATACAAATTAAGTAACAGCCAGAAACGGTGGAAAAGCAGTGGCATTCACGCACGATCTATGTACCTCCACTGAATAATTACAATATCCAACAAGCAATAAGCCCCTTATACAAGATATAATAAACAAATTTCACAATTGGTAATTGGTTACCTTCTAATGAGAGCGAGACTAAAACCTTGAAAATTGTTTTTCTTTATTAGCTCGTACAAATTCATTCTGTCAAAAACAAGAATCAGAAACAAAACAGAAATGTCAACGGGGCGTAGCAACAGGGAAACAATAAATCAGTTAAGCTGCACATGCCTATTTATGGAAGACCAAGTACATGAAGAAATGGTTACAATGTACATACTAAAAATATGACTTACCCCATAAGTTCGAAGCTGATGCATAAGTGATTTCTGAGAAAAACCAAAAACGAAACGATCATAAATAAGTGCAGTTTAAAACTAAACTGTCAAAAACTATTATTTGATATACATAGTTTTTAGCTGTAAGCGTTTGCGCTTGCGCGCACACGATCCCTGTTGTTTAGCTTTTCATCAAGGGCTATCCTCGCAGATAAAACAAACACTAATTATAAGAACAGCTGAAGAAGACCACGTGACACAGCCAAGGACACACAGGGACACATGTATAAGATCGACAAAAAATTTGATTTTATCAACTCAGCTGATAAAACGAAATGTTTCTGTCTTACCCCACACCGAAGTGACACCAAAGTTTCTTTAGAAACAAACTCTTTCTCTTATAAACGGACACCTAGAGTTTATACCTAACGATCCACAGTTGTTTTTTGTGAGTCTCAATAAGAAGAACAGCTATGTAAGACAGGCAAAAAGAGTTGTTTCTACTCTGTTGGACGGACACTTTGTTTTAGAACCAACGGTGTCTGTCTTAGACAGAGTTGATTGTCGTTCGGGCGGAACGTGTCTCTCCGACAGAAACATAAGGCCGAAGTTTTAAGAACTCACCTGAAGTAGAAATGGTCTATCATGTGAATGAGATTATAATTGTTTTCTTTGTCCTAAAAGTGAAACAACAAAACTCGAATAAGTTTTCCACTTCATTAAGGCAATTCTGGTCCAATTTCTACCCCAACTGACCTTTTTACGTAAATGATCTAAAAGCTTAACTTCAACCAAAGCTTGCTGGTGAAACCTGTACAAGGAAGATATGACAAGACTGGATGAGTATAAGAGTCTGGCAAACTTCCCACCTACCCTTCCCCTAACCTAACATTTTGCCCTAAGTGAAAAGTTAGAGTTAACGTTGGGTTAGGGAAGGGGTGGGTGAAACGTTTACTACAGTCCTCTGAAGGATAATTGACGGAATAATCACCTCTAACAGTATAACGACCACCTCTGTGCTATTAAAGACCGAGGAGAAGAACGACCACGATACGAGATTTAATTTACTTCCGGGGTGTCTATACTAAACAATAGTTGGTCTTTGGCCTTGTTTGTTCTTTTTGGCGTTTTTACTGACCTCGACTTCGTCTCGCTCGATCCATTAAAAAAAAAAACCCCTTGGCCAACTATATTCAGCCATCTTGAACCCACAAAGCATACGTATCTCTTCCCACCTCACCATTCCTATCCGATTCAATAATATTATACCTTACCTCATTCCCTATCACTTCCATTCCACCTATCTCATATCATTTTATCTACTTTATCCCACCTCATCTTAGCGCGTCTCATCTCACACCATCACATCTCATGCCACCTCATCTCATCTCATCCCATCCCATTCCATCTCATCTCACACCATCTCATCTGATCTTATCCCATCCCTTACCACCCCACCCTATATCCACTCTTTTATCCCATTTCATTCCATTCGATCTTAATTCATTCCTATCCAATCAAATCTCATCTCATCTCATCCCATCCAATCCTTTCCCACCCTGCATTCTAGAAAAGCTGACTTTCTATACCTCTTTTTGTTACGTATAATCTTAACGGCTACATGTTGCCCTGTCTTGTGATCTAAAGCCTTGACTACTTGTCCGAATGATCCTTTGCCTAGCACTTCAAGAACTTCATATCTGTACACAAGATGATCATGTAATGCCTTCAAGTAACTCCCATTCTCATCATCGTAACCTGAGAACAAAGGAAAAGGTATCTTACTAGAAAACTTTTACTCAGACAAACAATTGTGTTGACATGTAATGTTATAGGTTCAAACTTTTGGGTCTATTTTTCTGTCCAGAAGGCACAGTTTTTAATACCTAGTTCTAGTTAATCGTACCGTTGTTTTGCGGTGCTCCCGGTACACCTTCAATCTTCTTTGCCTCTAAACCAAGAAACCATACATCGGGGAAATCAAGAATCTCCGAATGTTCAAAAGTGGTCATCTTATCGCCGTAGTTCTTGATTGCGACTGAAAAACACATTGAAGAAACAAATTCAAATTTAGATCACGACTACACATAGCCTACGAGTAGCCCTACCCTCTTACGTTCCAGGGGAGGGGGGAGGGTACGGCTGCAAGTAACCTTATAAGACACGTTCAGGCTCGGGGAACCCTTTGAGAGTAACTCCTGATCGATTGTTTTTGCGTGGTGTCAAATTGCCCTGTGGGATTGCTTTGTGGACGAAATTTAATCCAGTTTCCTCAGCAACCTCATAATTCGCCACGTTGAGGTTGCGCGGGAGACCAGGGGAGATGGTTGTCAAAGTGCATTGTTTTGGGGGACGAATTTGCCGCCATGTTGAAAATGCTTCCCTTAAAATAACCCACAATGCACGTTGACAACCACCTCCCCCAGTCTCCCGCGCAACCTCAAAGTGGCGAATAATAGCCATAAAGGAATCGATAGTGTTGCGCAACATAGCCCCATAGGGCAATCTTACACACCACTGACCGTTACATGTAACCATTCAATAAGAGCTCTAAAGCAGCAGAGCTGTACTTTGCAAAATAAAACTTCGGATTTCTTCATTTATTAGAGACTTTCGAGTACGAGGACGAGATTTAACTCAAAGCTTTTCCACGTATTCTATTCTTAGAATCTAAGGGTCGGTTATTTGTACGAAGTCTAACTTAGGCCGCGGATTAAGAAATCATTGGACCTTCAAATCTCTTTCTTAAGGGGATAATTTAAGAAAATAAGTACTTTTCAAGTCTACGCTGTATGCTTTGTTCAAATTGTTCACGAAAAATAGTGTTTAGGTAAAAGCGTTGGGCAAAATGAAAATAGCTTAGAACGCGGTTTTGTTATACACGGGCTAAACTTCGTTTAAATAACTCGCCCTAAAGGTTTTTATTTTCAGTTACGTATTGTTGAGAGTAAACGAGTAAAGCTTACATACCGCTTGGTGACATTGGCAGTTTGAGTCCATTAGGGTCTCGGCGCACACGAGTAAAGGTCTCATTCTCGCTGCTTGTTCTGTCAAAATACAAAGAGTGCTTCGTTAAAACAAGGAAATAAAACATGCACTGCAGAGTACTACATGAAATACACATCACTAATATTGTCTTGTATAGTACGTGCTCATAGATGGTTGCTTGTTTTCTGTTCCCAGATACTAGGCTAGCTCTTGAGGAAGGTTTTTTCAGACTTAGACTCTTTTGCTATTGGTTCTGAATCCTTAATGTAAGAGAGGTTTTTGAAACCAGATTTGTCTTAGGTCGACCATAGTTAATTAAGTGCAAAGGCTATGGAGCCTGTTAGATTTCTTTGTTATATTTACAGTCAAGCCAGGTCAAGCGTACCCCCGCAAGATCCCATTAATGAATTTATTATTCGAAGGTTGAATCCGTTGGTAGTTGTAGATTTCAGATTCTTCTATGCATTCTTGCATGCGTAATGAGCCGTGAATTCACACGCGATTCAGTTACGAAATTTCTGCCAGCTCAGTTTCCCTGAATTTGATGTAAATGTCTTCTAACTAAAGAAATTGAATCCATTCAAGGATTTTCAATCTGACCAAATACAGGGAAGTTCTCGTAAAATATTCACAACTCATTACGCGTGAAGGAATGCCGATTTGAATTTGACACTAGTTTCGGGGACGACTAACGCATTCATTTGTCAAATAATCAATTCATTAATAGAATCTTGAGGGGTACGCTTGACCTGCCTTGACTGTAAATCCACCGTGCACGACGTTGCATGTTTATCATTTTGAAATAGCTGATCAACAGAATTGTCTAATCAATATATTCAGTCACAATTTGAAAACAAAAAGCAACAGTTTAAACATGGTCAGGGAGCTTCCAACATAAACGGCAGCACCACTGTTTATCTTTGATATTTACCACCTTTCATAACCACTCTTCTTTACTATGGGTCAACGTAAAATCTTTGAGAAAAAAACCTTATACCATAACGAATGTGATCTCTCTTACTGAGTGTAAGTTGAGGAGTATCTTTAATTAGAAACTAATTCGTTTCCTTTACACGCTTAAACTGGCCTTGGAACAAACTCTCTGCTCTCTGGGGGATTTGTAACAAGTCGCGCGCGAGCGGCACGCGAAAGGCTACGCCTCTCTCGCGCGCGTTCTCTAGCAGCTCGTTTGGCTCGCTACTAGCGGGTAAACTCAACAAACACGTGTTGAGCTTGGCTTTAGCCGGCGTGAAGAAGAGAGATGGACAAATTTGGGATCAAATACAAAGTGGAGATGATAGATGACCACAACACATCCACTTAAGGCGGTGGATGATAAGAAATACCGTATTTATTCGATTAACCGCCCTGGGTGCTTATTAAATTTTTGGACCTTGAGAGTGGGCGCTTATTCGAGGTGGGCGCTTATTCAAGGCTGGGCGCTTATTAAATTTTCACCATTTTCAGCAAGTGAAGTATGTTTATTTTGTAACAAAACAATAAATGCTAATAACAAAACGCGAAGAAGTAACAAAGCAAGCTTTCTGTAAAATACTCTGAAGAAAACTCCGTCCTCGGGGAAGTCTCTTATTAGAATTTATTCACTCAAGTGGGTGGGGTGGGGGTGAGCGCTTATTTGAGTTTGATTGGGAGGAAGAGGGGGTGGGCGCTTATTCGAGGCTGGGCGCTTATTAACTTTTTCTACCTTTAAGATGGGCGCTTATTCGAGGTTGGCGCTAATTCGAGGTTGGGCGCTTATTCGAATTAAATGAAATGAAAGTAACGCTTCTTTATCTTACATAACTGGAGCGTGTCTCTTCGATCCCTGCTTGCTGTAATCACTCAAATTAAGATTCTGCGTCTTTAAAAGAAAAAAAATATATGTATTAATCATACGTCTTTATTCGGCGATTACGATCGTCACTCAACCGACACAGTAGGGGTGGGCGATACCAGCTGACAGCTGCCCGGAATTCGGCACTTTAGAAACGAGAAGGTTACTGGAGAACGAAATGTGTTCCGCAATTGTTTGTGGGTTTGTTACTGGGGACGCGCTGGTCAGCTATTGGCCAATTTTCTATTTTTTACAGTTAGCATTAGATAAGAGGAGAAGTGAACGTCTTCCCACAGTGCATTGCGATTGTGTTTCTGACAAGATGGCAGGGTTTTCCGTCGCACGTCGTGTTTTTACGGTGTTTTTGTGTGACATTTTTACCGGGTTAGAATCCTAACTAGGGGGTAAGTAAGACTATTCATACATTCTTTGTCTTTTTATCTTTTCATAAAAGGAAGCTTTACAGGAGTATTTTTTCTGAAACGTATATTAGATAAAATAGCTGGCATTAGATACAATTGGTTGAAGCCAGATTAGACACCTTATGAGTGTAACACAACCCATTATTCTCCTAAAGTAAAGAGAGTGGAACAGAACCCCACTAACCTTGTAGAACAGCTGAACAAACCAAAACTGCCGAGCGCCAGTTATGGAGAGAACATACTAGAAATTTAGCACCTATCTGCAGTGATTGGGGTTAAGCACTGAACCGAAAACTGTTAGCTTTCAAATATTGTAATGGGATATAGCATAAGTGCATGTATGTTTTAAAAATTACTGTATTTGGCAGCTAGTCTTCGATAATGTAGTGGAAATGGATGTAGGTTGTGAAGCAAATGGCCCGAGTTCAACGCATCCCAGTTCTGTTTTTCTATCTTACTGTATATTACACAGTTTATACTACTACACGAGAAATTTCTGCAATTTGAATGGCTTAGAGCACTGGTAATTCAGCTTAATTTGAAATACCTACATGTGAAAATTACAAACCTTTTGCGGGTAGTAGTATAAACAAATAATAGCATGATTTGTACGTGATATTTGGCATAAATAACACTCGTGATATTTCAAAGTTGTCTCAAATTTCACTCGCCTAACGGCTCGTGAAATTACATATAACAATTTCTAAATATCAATCGCGGTATTTATGCCAAATATCACTACAAATCATGCTATTACCTATACAAAGTTGGACAAGAAACCCATAAGGGGTTGAAACGTGTAACTCTCATATGTTTGCTTTGTCCGATGCTCGTGATTATTCATTTTCGAAAGTACCATATTTGGAACGAGAAGAAGAGGTAGCTGACCAATCAAACTTCGTAAACAACGTGACGTAATTTTACTCCATGTTCCCGCGCCCGCGTGAAAAAAATGGCCGACAAACGGGGGAAAAACTCCCGAAAGCCGAGAAAGCTTTCAAAGGTTGAGAACAGGAATCTTACCGAAACACTGAGCAGGATATTATTGCCTTACCACCCGGGCCAAACATAACATTATGAAACCCGTTGACGTCCTCGCAACTTCTTGAAATTGTCACTTCAAAAAACGACGCCTCTGCACAGTAAACTTATACTGCAAATAGGTTTTTAAAATTCTTATATTAAAAGTCTAGAATAAAGAGTGAAAAATATTTTCGAATAAAATTCATTAGTTGCGTATTGAAAAGTGTCCAAAACCTGAACCTGACATCTTCGCAAAAAGTGATGCGTGTAATGAATGTGAGAAGCATTTAAGCTTAAATTCAGCTTGGATGTTGTAGTCACGATCGTGTTTTGAGCTAATTTTATGAATGAACGAACTCAAAACAATAGACAGAGAAGCCGTTTCTTAAAAAAGTTAATTCAAAATCCAAAAAGTTAATCCTTTAAAGCAATTCGGAAAACACTACCTGGATCGTGGATCCGTTCACGCAAGTGAAATCGGCTGAGCACATAGCAAAATTAAACACAAAATCCGTCTCAAATTGGGGCACATTTTGTAATTTTTCTTTACCGCGGAAGAGAAAAATTTATAAAACGTCTACGAAACATTTAAAAATACATAAACTGCCTTTCAAAAACGTAATTGTCTTGGCCATAGAGTGCAAAATGTACCTGAAAATTCAGCAAAAACTTCACTGCCTTGGTTGCATTTCAAAACAGACCATGCGCTCCGTCGAGAAGAAGACAAGTTTGAATTCCTCGAAGGACAATTTCTTGATGAAAAGCTTCCCTTCCTCCACAAAAAGAAAGCTGAGCATTCTTTTGAACTTTTTCTTTCCCTTTTTTGTCTTTTAACGGTGTATTTTTAAACTTGAAATGCAGAACTCTTGTCTTAAAACATCTGCATGGTGATCGCGCGGCAGCCATTTGTTGAAAATGGATATCTGTCACTAAGGTTTCCAAATATGGTAAAAGTGAATATTCACGAGCGCGATTTTAATACACGTTTAAACCCCTTATCAGTTTCTGGTTGCACTTAAGTTGTTCTTCATGTAATTTTACTGAAAAAAAAATCTGGCTTCAGCCGATGTTACCCAATGCTAACCATTTTTCACTGACGTAACAGTCCCAGAAGTCTTTGCGAAAGTCAACTCAGAACAGTTTTCTTCGCGTTTCTAAAAAGGCGAATTTCGTACAAACTTTTGATGGCACCGCGCATGCGTAGTACTACACACAAGGACTAAGTACTGAGTTCAGTGGATTTCAAACGAAAGCTCTTGCATGGTGAGGGCTTCGAGTAACAGTGCACTTGATTTTTGCAGGTTAATCCATCAACTTTAACTTTGTGTTTTGTACAACAATAGAGCCTACGGGGACCGTACTGCTTTACATAGTCGAATTACAGCAACGGGTAAATTTACAATGGTTCGCGCGGGAAACTTTCCTCGAAGGCAACATCGTTTTTTGTCCTGGCTCACGAAACCACTTGGTTCTACAGATCAAAGGCAATTAAATATGGTTGCTGTATTTTGTCCGTAATATATCAAGGGATAAAAATTGCTGTCATAAAGAACTATATAAGCGGAAAAAAAATAATTAAAAACGCCAATGCGCCAGATAAGGAAAAATATATAAGCGTGAAAGCTAGGCAAATAATAAAAGAAGGAAATCTAAGCCAAAGAGAAGGATTTGAACTATTGAACGAAAAAAAAAGGTTTTGAAATTAGTTTCTTAATTCTATAAGTTATTGCACAAGTTTTTCCTTCAAACTCCAAAATGCAATTGTCCGATACGATCAGGGGATAAAAAGACACCTCCAGGCGATATATCTATAGACAGTTAGCCGGTCGGTACGGGGAAAAAATCAATTTTAGTAAATTATCTTTGGGCACTTCCTTAACAGACATTCAAAAATCAACGTCGTACTCGAAGATTCTAATATCGAACAAAACTAGAAACAAAAAAATATATATAAAATAAAGGGAGAAGATAAAGAGAACCACACCACATCCTTTTCCGTATAATTGCAAAACCAAAAATAAAAATAAAATGGAGAACATTTATATTCACTAGCGACAAAAATAGTTAAATCATCAGGGAAAAGAGACGAATTTGCATTGAACACATTCTAAGGAAAACTCGAGGTTTTCAAGAGCGGAAACCGGCAATCTACTTTTCCAGTTCAAATATTTGTAAATTATTTACTTTGCGACACACAATTAGTGTGCTTAGAAAACAAATTCACGTTTTCATTGCACTTCTACAAAGACAGGAAAAATTTAAACTATTGCGCACACAGAGAAGACAAACGACATTTGGTGCTTGGAAAATAGGTAAAAACTGTACCTTAATGATACGAAAACCTTCGCAAATTTCTAACCTTTTTACGCTGCAAAGACTGTAGAGAGCCGGACAAGCCGGTGAAAACTCGGATTTTCATGTTTCCGCGTGTGAGGGACGTTGTATTTTGAATCGATATTCCCGTCTTCTGGTTTGGTTTTTGTCCATGTTTCACCATGCTTCAGCTTTCAAAATCCTGTTCGCCGCGTCTCTCAAGATAATTCCAGCTTCACTGTCGTCACAAATAATAATCTCGATGTTTTTAATTTGGGCACAGAGCTTATCTACAAATCTCGCTTCTCAGGGCCACATCGAATAGAAAACCATGCAGAGGTTCTTTACGTGAATGGAAATATATAATTTCTTTCAGGAAAACAATGAAAACGCAGCTTGAGCCGCCATCATCAGCAGAAGAACGTAAAGAAAAATAATAATTTACCGGAATAAAACACCAAATACATCTGTCCTTCAGCGAGAAAAAAAACACGTTGCCAGGCAATAAGGATCGCCGAGTGGTTCAAGATATGAATTATTCAATTTACGGAGGAGTTAATGGAACAAGGGAACGCAATTTCCACCTGCCTTCGATTCAATTCATCATAAACACCTCGGAAGGAAAACCATTCAAATGTTCATATCCAGAGTCCTCTTAAGTGTCAAACGCCGACCAAAAGCAAATGAAGTCATGAGAGCGCTAGTAATTTAAAGGCATGAAGAAATAAATTCTCAAAGAAACAAAGCGTTAAAATGATTTAACATCAGCGCGTCGGCAAAACGCTTGCGACACGTTCGCCAACACAGAAAGAAAAGTTGTTCACTCTAGAACACTGAATGCGAGTATAATTGAGGGGCCCTACAAATACAGGTTTGAGCAACACCCATTAACACATAATTATCAACTTCTTAAAGCTAGCAACGGAAGAGGCCAGTGGAAATCGAAACCGAGAATTCATACAGCTGTTTGCTTTTAGTCAAAACACTAATTCGACGGTCTTACTTGGGTTCTTAGAAAGCTCTAAAACTATCCCCTTGCTGATCCCATTAAAAGGAAAAAAACTGCTGAATTACTTCAATATCAGTGCCGCAGTTAATACAGCTTTACATGTTTTTTTTACTACCGTGGCATTTTTTCCCAATAATTTTTTTAAGTTTCGGTTCGGACAGTGCAATTATCATCAGGCCGAAGATATATCACATTCAAATTACACTTTGTCTATAAACAGAGGTAGGGTAAGCTGATTTCTATAACAAGTAAGCGAAGAGATTACTATCACCGGTGTTAAATTAAACAAGATTTTTTTTACTCCAGTGGTATCTGACCCAACATTATAAATTTGTAAAGACTTAAGCCCCTGTTATATACTACGAGTATTGTTTTATTAGATTACAGTCCGTATTTTCGCGTATTCAAGTACACGCGAGCAGTCAAACAAAAGGTCTGGAATGAGGCCTACCGAGTTCTTTACTGATTTTGAGGAAAAAACTTACTGTTTTGTAGACTAAAGTTTAATAGAAATTTTGTTGTGACACAAGTTGCAAAAACATTGTCCTGCGTGACAGCACCTAAACGAGGAGTCTATTTCACAGAATTCTAAAATTCGAACTACAGAATAAGAATGTTGAGGCTGAAATTAAAAGCGAAATCCTTGAGAACGTGGTATTAGGAGCAAAACTAGGGCTTATGGGGGCATTATGGTTTAAAGCAGTGTTTTTCGTTTATTTCCGCACTTTTTCTTTAATATCCAGTTGAATATCTAGACAAGATTTAATTCATTTACAAAATGACTTCATGAATTTAGAGTCCTTGGTTCGATAATTTTTGGAGAATTTTTGGATGATTGGGAAGGATTGTTTAAAATTTTGGAAAATTTGAGAAGACTGGATTTTGGAATTGTAAAAAATTAAAGTATGAAGTGAATAATTAGTAGACAAAGACAGCATAGTCCACCACTGCAACAAGGTGCCTCTGGGCCCATTAGCGGACAAACTGGTTTATCAGGTTTAACTACTTCAGGGTTTTGCTTTCTTGTGCAAATTAGGGCTTTCGCTATTAAAACCTCGCCGGGATTACCAAATTTAAATATCAAAGAAAAAACGAAATGAATTTTGAAAGTAGTAGTAGTAGTAGTAGAGTGACGCCATCGACCAAATGGCCTTTTCGACAAACTTACCGAACTCGGCACGAAATATGTTTGTAAAGCGAAAAAAAACCTATTCTCTTGCTTTATATTAAGAACAGACACAAAATCGTTCCTACCTGTTTACTTGAACTTTTGAGAATATTTTGCTGATTCAGAAGCTGAGGAAGTTGATCTGAAAATTTCTGCTGAGTAAAAGAATCGACGGATAAACATTAGCCGACTGAGGAATATCCAGTATAGGTCTGTTGAGAACATTTAGAATAACTTGGGCAAACCATTAAAGCTAGTAGCTTCGTAGAGACTGGAGTTGCGCAGGGGAAAATGAGGCAGGAGTAGCCCAGTCAGTAAAGCGCTTGACTGTAGAGCGGGAGGTCGTGGGTTCGATTCCCGGAGCCGGACCAAGGTATTACCTTTGCAATGCGTGCAAACGGCTAGACCTTCGCGTGGCTCGGATCACCACGTAAACTGGCGGTTCCGTCTCAAGTAGGAGACGTAAAAATAGTGCCCTAAATTAGTACTTTCGCGCTAAATACTTTGACACTCAAATAAAGTGCATTTATTTATTCATTTATATATTTATTTTTAAGGAAAATTAGGGGAAAGTACCCAATGTCGGAGCTAAGGTAAAGATCCTTATTTACGTTGGTAATTCGAAACAGTTCTGGAGCTGATAACCTGAGGCCAACAGTTTCCTCATTTTACCCTCGTTCTACATCATTACTCCATTCTACGGTACCTTAAATATTTAAGGCTACAAAGAAAGGAAGTAAGCCGTAACAGGGATTTGAGGTCACACTCGCGAAACGAACTCGGAACCCCCGCATGCACAGAAAGCTGCACACCCCTGATATACTCCCCCCCCCTTTGACTTGTACTGAAATGAATTCCATTTATTATGACGCAAAGTTAATGCAAGACATATTTTGGTCAGCACCGCTATTGCTGGTTTGCACGTGACTTGACGGCGGCCATGTTGGTGGTCAAGAACAAAACCATTTCTCTTCTTTGGGAACAAAAATCTATTTTCACGTAAAATCTTCGCGAAAAAAATTTTACTGTTTTGATCCCCAACATGGCCGCCTTCTCACGTGGTTGCAAACCAAGAACTGCTTGTTTCGAACTTCTTTTTCTATTTCGGTCAAAAGCCCCCCTCGGCTATGTGAGTGCTTTAATTAAAACTCCTTGCGAAGATGTATAAGCCCAGAGCTTATAAGCGTTACTTTACGGTAAATTGTATGTTATAAAGGCAACAGACGTGTGAACATACTCTAAAGTGCTCTCTTCCGAGGCACGAAAGATTTCAAAAAGGTTCGCGCTCGAAAAGAGGAGTTGGGCAGACATATCCGTAATTTATGAGTATTTAAAACTTGCAAATATACCTTTCCCTCTTTAAGACTGTGGTCATCACCCTGTGAAATACAAAAGACAAACCGTATTAAATTGATATCATGGTACTTAACACTATGGCTCTTAAAAGATTTACACTTTAAACACACTGTTACGTGAAATTGTGACTCGTTGCGTAAAATTGTTGGAAGTAAAGTATAACGCATGCATACTTTTTTTCACACACTGAATGCCATTTGTCTGCAACACGACAATGCAACAGCACTTTAATCACAACCATCACAAAAATTTTACAACAAGAAAAGGAAAAAATAAAAAAAATCTTCCTGAACCTGATATACTGCTGTCGAACGAACTCACACTTTTCTTTCTTTCTTCCTTTCTTTTTTTTTTTGTTTTGAACTAGCAAAGGGCTGGTGGGTGGGAAAAAGCCGTTGCACGGTTTGGCAAGAAACAAAACCTGAATCATTTCATGCGCGTGAAAACTGATACCCTAAATTGTACTCGTGCCTCGTGCCCAGTTTCCATTCAGAGTGAGAGAACTTCATTTCTTGCCTCTTTCATAAGCTCAGCTGGCAAGAAAAACATTTCTTTCTTCTTTATGAGTTCAGTATCGGGTAATTTTGACCCCGAGCTTTCTAAGCGACGCCATGTTTTTTCTGACATCATATGGTTACTGCTATTGTTTAAAAGGCGAATTACTCTCTTAAATTTACATCTTTTCGTTAATTACAACCTCTAAATTAAAAGTTAGCAAAGCTTAAGACTTTTAAAAACAAAAACTGACAATAGCTAGGGCATAAATAGAGTACGACGAAGTACATTAAATTCTTTTTGTCTAAGGAAGGAACCCAGAGGCCTGTAATTTTCTAAGCTGCCCCAAAAAGGTTAAGTGTAGCTAGACAACCTTAGCTAAAGTAGCATAACTTCAACACCATCACCATAATTATCATCATTATCTTTTTCTTCTCCCCATGTGTGAACACGGCAAGAGTAGCCTCGCTCCGCGAGTTCCTTGCGAGTTCGGACGTGAAATCACCCCTCAATTCCAAGCCTCCTCCACTCACTCGAGTGGATACGAAGCTGAACAGGGAGTAGCATAAAAAGATCATTAGATGTTTGCTCAGTTTACCTGTCCATGATGTCTATCAGGGCCAAGCTGCGGCAGTGTTCCAGGAAGGATACTGGTCATTCGCTGCAAAGTAAAAACAACAACAACAGAAAGATTTACTAAGTTTGAACAAAACAGGGAGACTCATTAGCAATACCAAAAACGGAAACAGTGCAAACGCTAAAAAGTAATCCAGTAAGGTTACGTTCACACCCGCGGCACCGGACGAATTTTCGAGCGGTTGAAAATTCGTGCCTTTTGGTGTTAAGTTCACACGGAATCACCCCAACCGTATGGAATATTTAGACGGCTCTATAGCCGTTCAAAGTTCAGTTTGAACAAAGCACAAAATATGGAAGGATCCTGTGTGAACGAAGTGACCGGTCAAAGGTTTCAGCCGCTCGAAAATTCGTCCGGTGCCGTGTCAACGTAGCCTAACAGTAGCCTAAGAGTATGAGAACATACAACACTGACTTTAAGCTTTGTAACTTGTTTGTCAGAGTTTTTTTATGGGAGGAATTGGGGAGAGAGGGTCCCTTTTCCCTTTCGCACTTTTCTCCCTCTCCCCTTCCCCTTCCCCTTTTTGAGCCTTGGAAGGCAAATGCCCAGGGGAGAGGCCACGTAAGCTGCCAAATGCCCCGTGGTGGGAGGGGACAAATTAAGACTGCAAATGCCTCGCCTCTGGATAGTTTCCAAATGCACTCAATGAAGCATACTGGCACTGAATGACGGATCTGATAAGAACGTCGACTCGTGCTGATCGCTCCCGATCTCGCTAGATACAAGTGTAAGGTCTGGCTTGATGGGCAACGAAGAAATGCATGCACGAGAAAACATATCTTACAAAGTCTCTTAGGCTGCGTAACAAGCGTTTCCGTGTGGTTTCGGAGCAAAGAAAGACAGAGGAACGACGAGGAGCGGGATTTTTTTTAATTTGGCCGCGAGAAAAATGGAATGTGTCTTTGACTCTCGTCCCTTGTTCTTTGCTGCGAAACCGCTCCTCTCCAAAACTCTTGCTACATTCTATGCAGGCTAAAAGTCTCTAAAAGTTTTTGCACTTCCATCTCTATAACTATCACTGTTACTATCAATATCATTATCATTATTGGGTTCCGTATAAACAAAAACCAGTCATTACAGGTCGCAAAAATTAGTTTCTCCCCAAATTGTCCATCAGCAAGATTAAATTGTCCCCAAACTTTACTGAGTGTCAGTCACACGGCAGGCTTTACACTGCAGAACAATCGTTTTGTTTTTTTCGCGTTTTTTACTCCAGGGAAGGCAAGCGCAAGACGGGCGTGGAGCGCGAAACACGTGCGACGGGGGAAGGCGCGGAAAGCTAATTAAGATAAAAATTATACAAAAAGTAGCATACCTGTTGGCCTCGTACCAGTGGCTTCCCTTCCGTGTACTTTAAAATAAGCTCATTCTTGCTGTGAAGAAAAAAAATTCCTTTTTACCCTACTACACTTTCAATTATTGCTTAAAAGCAATTAAGGACCTCACTACTGAATGTGGTGAAAAATACTAGTTTTCAATAGCGACCAAGAATAAGCTCATTCTCTCTTGATAGCGATGGATTGGGGGAGTCGTAAACAATAAACGAATGTTCATCCAACAAAGCCTATCTGACAAGCCACAGTGAATATCTGTCCAGGCTATGATTTTTTTCAAAACCCCAGAGAGTGTTCGGCTTCTACTTACTTAAGTATTTTGCTAAGTTTTAGACCAACTGACAAGTATAGAGTACCTCAAATAGCCACTGCTGAAGGTGCTGTTTGAGTGAGAATTTCCTCCGCGATGGTTCCCTTGATCAGGGCTCTGAAAACCACAAATAAAAACAAGTCACATCAGAACTGCCTGTCATGATGGGACGCAGTACTGTTGATTGAAGGGTAGAGACACAGAGGGTTATGTGGTTCCCCAGGGATTTGGGGTTCTCCTGGAAAGTTTGAGTGGTGAGTGTGTCATAAATAGTCTGATCAAGAAGCGCACAAGGCAAACTTTGGAGGATTTGAAGCAGGAGGTACTATACAATTCACAGTCATAAAATAGTGGATATGAATATGAAGGTCCTCAATCTGAGGATGATATTTATCCCTGCCAAAGAGTGATGTCAAATGTGACGAACTCAAGCTGTGCAGACTTAAAAAAGCAAGTCAGATATATTTTCCTGTCGGGCACTTTAATGCACATAAAATTCTTAAAAGTAAATTGAGAATTGAGGACATGAATTCTGTGGAGAATTGTGCGCATAAGTACAAATTGGAAGAATTTTATAAAAAAATATACATATATTTTGAGGTGGTTTTTGTTTATGAGTCTACATACTGCTCAGACACAATGTACATTGTATACAGTAATAATATTATACACTGTACTTGAACATGTACTTCTAAGATGTACTACTCTCAACAGTAAAATATACATGACCACAATGAATAATGAAAGCTATTGCTGTGTGCTGATTCCACTTCCATGAAAGAAGTTTGATGAAGCACCATTAAAAATTATTGACAAAAAAATAAAACGCAATAACATACTGTTTTAGTGCACTCGTCTGATGGTGAATTGTGATGTTTTTTGTGCTTGGGCATCACAGCAGATCCCATGATGGATCCAAGGATTTTTATCCACAAATTATTTTCCAAACTGTGAATGTTGATGTAGAGTTACCAAAAACTGATGGCCAAGGTTACAGCTATATTTTGAGTATTCAGAAATTCTAAGCCCAGGTCATAAAAAATTGATGAATTCAATATGGAAATTTCACTAGCAGTTGTGCATCTGTCTTTCAATAAATTTATTTAAATTAAGACAAGAGAAATGAGTGACAAAATTATTCATCTCCATTTCCTGCACCTAATATACATTTGTAGCAGTAAAAAATGATACTTTTAAAAAGTAAACCAAATGAGATTTTGAAATTTATGTGTTTTACTTTAAAAATAACAAGCTTTTTAAAGTTACTTATTCAAACTTGGTGCAAAGCAGTCAAAGACACTGGTCATCACTCAAGAATTTCAGTCTGTCTTGAAATATTGAACCGTCACTGACAATGACTTCATATGATTAATAAGTGGTAGTCATTCTTAAACTACACAGAATATCTATAAAAGTGATATAGCATTTATTTTTATTAAATTCTTACCAGATAGTTTTAAAATTATTTGTATTAAAATATTCCTAATCCTTCTTAAACTACGTAGAATATCTATAAAAGTGATAGCATTTATTTTTATTAAATTCTTACCAGATAGTTTTAAAATTATTTGTATTAAAATATTCCTAATCCTTCTTAAACTACGTAGAATATCTATAAAAGTGATAGCATTTATTTTTATTAAATTCTTACCAGATAGGTTTGAAATTATTTGTATTAAAATATTCCTATATAAAATGACCACCAACTGAGGTCATTATTTTTAGATGACACATCCAATAAATCCAAATTTATGATATATTATCTGCAGTTACTGTCCTTCTTACGTCAAACGCAATGTCTACTTAACACAAACAGAATCATTGCACTTCCTTCCCTTATACAATGTAAGATAAATATTTATTATATTAACACCAATGAAATACCAGATGATCTTTTGCACGAAAACTTGATATCAGTCTTTACATGTGAAAATAACACATTATCTTCACATGTGAAAATATCACTGTTGCTATGACTACATAATAAATTGCTCCTTTCACACCTAAAAACTATTAAAGTGAAATGGTTTAGTAGTTCATTTGTGTTTATATAATAGAACATTACATGGCCGCTTGGAGATACGAAATTTCTCTTCTCGTGTTGAAAAAATATTTCACTTGTTCGCTGCGCTCACTCGTGAAATATTTTTCAACACTCGAAGAGAAATTTCGTATCTCCATGCGGCCATGTAATATCCTCTATTTATTAACAAACCCATAATCCTGTTAAAATAATACCTATAACAATAAGCAAGGAAATAAAACCATAAAATGCTGGTCTTTTGGATTGAGTCATTGTATTTTCTTTTGATACAGTCAAACCCTGTTAACCCTTGAAGTCCCAATGGTGACCAACATCAATTTTCTCCTAACGATATCCATACATTGTCAAGAGATTAGGTTACGAGAACTAATAAAATGATCACCAAAGAGAAAATGCCTTGATCTTTTATCAAATTCTCTCAACTCATTCTTTAAGGAAATGTACAGAGATCAGTTTGGAGAATTTGTATGTGGATATTGGGGTTTAAAGGGTTAAATATACGTCGAACACTGAGTGGGCTACAGAGAAAATGTAAGGGCTTGCTTTTCCCAGGGACACAAAAAACTGTCTGTAATAATGAGGTGTTCGTATCAAGCAGGTGTCCATTAAGTGGGCTTTTACTGTAATAATTTCATCATTATAATAAATAATTGGGAATTTTAAAAACAGTAGCAGGGGTATAGATGCAGTTTTTAACACCTCAGTTGGGGGAGATTATTATTATAAAGGCGCTTTAAGTTAAAGGATGCTAAATACAGGACATATGTTTCCATTACACAAAAGGTATGAGCTTCAATATCAAGAAATTTACTTGTCTTTGTAGTGGGTGATAAGGTATAAAAATCAAGTAGTGCAATTTTTTACTTCAACTAGTAATAATATTATTATATTAAAATCCATTTGACATTTGACAGAGAGAAATGAGATGCTCTGGGTTACTAATTAAGGGCTTTAAACAATAACTATTACTGGACTAATAAATTATTGAACAAAAGAGGAATTTGTTTTAAACAAACAAGGATTAGTGGATCAAAAACAACACTTTTTTATTACAAATTCAAGGTACATAGGGACGTATCTTTTAAAAATCACCTTAGAGCCCAAGGGCTAAATATTGCATAATTTTAAAATGCAAACTCTTTGCTATTTTTTTTTACAGCATTGGGACTCATACTTCCTGGGAAAGGGGAAGTGGAACCTATGAGAAGCATCTTTTGTTAATTTAACTTTTAATTAATAATTCCCCGTAGGGGCGAGAGGGGGTCCATGACACAGAAAAAGAGGCAAATATATCTATTGCAAAATTACAGTGTTTGTAACTTTGCCACTGTTATTTGTTTTAAACAATGTAGCATAGATTTAATGTTGTTATTGCTCTTTTGGGGGGGGAGGGGGTGAGAAGCTTGGATCCTAAAACACTTATAAGTCTAAACACAGGAACATCATCAGCTACCCTTTGCAGCCCCATTCTAAACTATGCACCAAACATTGATCACAGCTACCAAATCCCTGACTTAACATGAACCATAAACTCATACTCACCAATGGTTTCTAATCACTCCATCCCAGACAAAACTCCCACAGAAATCAAAACCTCTACAACAGCCCCAACCTATGTAGGCCATATATGAGGTCCTCTTAGGGAGGGGGTGGGGGGGGTCATATGTCCCTAGTCTGAATTTAAATATTGTTGTTTCGCAATTTGAGGGGAGGAGAATAAGGCCATGTCCTGTCAATATTTAACCCAACATTCTGTCGTTTGTTGCCCTTTCATCTAGTCCTAAGCCACTAGTTCAAGCTTATGTTGCTTGTCGGAACACTACAATGAGGGAAAAAAGTGTTGAGACACTTCCATAAAATGGACCTTTTTTTTGAACATACCTACCCCCTCGCCCCAAAACCAATGTTGTATTTTAGACCCTCAAGTCTTTCTTTTACTACAAACAACATTGATCGGGGGGTGTGGAGATGTATGGCATATTAAATAGAATAAAATAATAAGTGAATGAAATTGTTGATAAAAGCACCCGTTTCAGACAACTGTGTCGACTACTTTTGTTTCTGATTGTAGTCTCTCCCCTTGGCCCCACTTTCTTCACCCCTGGAGTAAAGACCAATTTAAGCTGTGAAGAAGAAGTTTCAATAACTTTTGAAGTAGGTGGAAGTTTAAGGCAATTCTTGTAAGTGTTAAAGTGAAAATCAATAACTGCCTAAGACCAAGAGAGTTTAGGGGCTTATTGAAGGCCCAGCTTGTCAAAGCATGCCTTATTCAGGGTTGTCACTAATAGATTTCAAATTGCCGGATAAATACGACAAGAAGGCGGGGAATCAAACAGCTTTAGATTGATTTCGTTTGGTTCAATTTTTCTTCTATTTTCCTATGAAAAGTATCCAGGGCCCACATTCTTAGCAGCCGGGGGAAAATCTTAATGTCAGCCGGCCGTGCTTATTTCTTCATGTATGTTTTGTGAACAACCCCCTGGATCTGCAGCCAGGCTGGTGATTTGTACTGTGTCAGTTAAACCATGCAAATGTGAGAAACAGGACATCCAGTGAGCACAAAGAGTTACATGAAAACTAATGATATTACTTTTTCTGTTATTCATAATAGCAGGGATACAGGCAAACAAACAAAGTTAATATTAAGTGGAAATTAATGAGTTATAAAGTACGGTTTAATATTGGTTCATTCATAAGTCAAACCAAGACGATAAACTTTCACGTTTGCAGCAAAAAAATACATGGAAATGTTTTGCCGATTTACAATTCAACTTATTTAACAAAACTAAGCGTACACTGTACATAAAAATGATAAGCGTTTTATTATTGACCTTTTATTTCCGCCAGTCTTTCAAACGCGATGTCAAAAAACATCAACTCAATTAAACAATAATTTTGGTGGAGTATGGTCGTCTACAATGATCAATAATTCTCCCACGATTTTAATGACTGTACTAGTATGCAAGAAGCGATTTCAAACCAACAGAATTTCCTTCGTTCACAGTGCATGAGCTGCTGCTTATTAATTTTAAAAGCTTACCTGTGATATGTTCAAAGATTTCTTCGATCTCGTTTGCTTCAAAAAGGGAAGTAAATGCTGCTTCCTGTCCTTGGATCGATCGTCTTTTCCCATTTTCAGTCTAAAGAAATAACACGCGGAGATTATATTTATAAACATAAGATTAAGTTTAAGCTTACATGCACCATTTCAATAAACTCGCCACTTAAGCTCTCTGCGTGTAATTTGTAAACAGCATCTAGAAAACTAAAATATTTACTGAATAAAAGGTGGTAGATAGCAGTTCTCTCTGATCTAATAATCTAGGCAAAAATTCAATACTCACTACGATTGCTGCTGCGTTCATTCACAAGATATTTGCTTCCACTTGAGAGGAATTGAATGGAACAAAAGCAATCAAACTCATCGCTTGCAGGGACCTTGCATGGGCCATGAAAACCATTTTCCATCTGCATCCATACCGTTCTCGCTAGTTAACAGCATACAACGCTAACAGGAAGGATATTCTAGTAGAACTTAACGCTCCTGTATACTTTTTGAGGACACTTTTTTGACAGTTTCTCCACAGCTTGCGAAAGCGCGCGCGTGTCTGACACCTTGGTTGTCAAATATCACCATAGAAACCAGCTGATAAAGAGACACGTTGATTACTTCATTTACGCATCATGACACTTTTGGGATTGAGCTTACACAAACAAATGTTGGACCACGGTAAACAAACATTTGATTTTCAATCAAATCGTCGATATTTGCTTTGCTAATATTGTGAATGAATTGTATGGAGAAGTTGGCTATTTTGAGCGACTGGACGGCCTCAGATTAACAGGTCTGATTAAAATACCCGCTGTGTTTGTTCCTTTTTCTGATAAAGAAAACAGGCCAGGGGCACTTTCTTTTCAGCCCGAAATTCCGGAAATTTTGGTTCGAAATCAAATGCAACAGACCATTTTTGTTCGTTCCGACGGGAATATTCAGGGGCACCCAACGTCAATTTTCGGAAAATATCTGTTCGGAAGACGATTTGAGATCTAGAACTTTCGGAACATTTGTTGTAAAATTTATTGCTTGCCGGCCTCTCCTAGGACTTTCGAAGATCTAAAAAATGGTATAATTGCCCATTTTAAACAGATTTTTACGCTAAAAAGGTCACCTAGAATTTTCGGGAGCCTTTTTTCTGGCTGAAATTATCGAAAAGGTAAGTTTTGATCCATATAATTTTCGGATCACTAGAATCCGAACAGACGAAAATTTTTTAGGGGATAAAAATATGCCTATATCTACCGTTTAAATACTAAAATACGTTTAAAAATCCTATGTTTAAGTGATTTTGTACTATATTCTCGTTGGGTGCCCCTGAATATTTGGGACCAACGATCTGGCTTCCCTGGCTTCCCCTAGGAAGAAGCACAAAAAAATTCTATACCGATGACGTGCCACTACCCTGATTAGGAGGGTAGTGCTTCTGATTGGTTGAAAATTTGCTTCAACCAATCAGAAGCACTATCCAGATCTGGGTAGTGACACGTCATCAGTATGGAATTTCTGCGCTCGTTTCCCAGACTTCATTTCGCAAGGAAACAAGTGGTGGTGTCACGAAATGTCGGCTGCTTTCAAGTTAAAATCAATGTTCATACAAAGTGTTTTGGGGGTAAATAAGAAGTATTATGGGCAACGCCAAAAATACCGTAAAATTCCGAAAATTAGCCCCTCCATGTGTAAGCCCCTCCAAATATAGGCCCCCCAAACCTGTAACGCAAAAAACCCTCCGTTAAATCGCCCCTCCATATATAAGCCCCTCGGGGGCTTGTACTTGGAAATTGCCCTAAAATACAAGGTAAAACAAAGCAGAAACGATAAATTTCCTTCCAACTGTAAGGTTAGCCCAATCGATTTTGAAACGCAAACTTCCCTCCACAGCCCCTCCGAATATAAGCCCCTCCAAAAATAAGCCCCTCAAAAAAGGGCCTTTGGAAAATATAAGCCCCAGGGCTTATTTTCGGAATTTTACGGTAGTGAATTGGCCATTTTAAGATTGAGCGTAAGGGTAGGTAGGTTCTGTTCCGAATTGCATTATGGGGCTTACTTGGTGCAAAATCGCTCACTCTTTTTGGCTACTACCAAGTTGCACAGGAAACTGGGCCAGAATTCGTGTCCCAAAACAAAACAAAAAAAGGAAGAACACATTATATCTTTCTCATAAAAATCCTTTTAATGGACTGACAATTATATTTAACGCCATGAAATTTCTCACTTTGGTATTTTTCTATCGACCTGTGACTACAACTGTTCTCCACTTTCTAACTTTTTAGTCTATACTGTATTCTTCCAGGTATTTCTACTAACTCCTCCTCAGGCACTTGTTTGTCGCACAGAGGCAGGCGCGAAACGCGGTGACGAACCACAAGAGACCATGGGAAGGAGAAAGAAGAAAGCCGTCGCCTTCCCACCTTCCTTTGCGCGCATATTTTCATGGAGAGAGACTTGTCCGGATACGAGGCAGGTATTTCCATGTAATGTGTTAGGGGACTTTGGTCAGCTCTTGTATTTTTTTCTGCTTAATAAGGTCTTTATAAAGGTTGTGCAATAACTTAATATAATCCTTTTTCCAGCCTTCAATGGCGATGAGCGGGCATCACTATTCCTCTTGGTTTAAATGGGCTATGAGAATTAAACTAAAAAGCTTCTGCCAGAGGACACCTTCAACCCAACATTAGGCGTCTATGTAGTCAGAAATGACAAAGTCAAATCACCTTCGCAACAAACGTAACGGATTACGTGTTCATTCCAAGTTCTTAATATATACAACTTGGACATGACCTACGACAACTGTTTAGTTCACCTGTAAATGCATAGTCCATTACGAATGTTTTTGCTGAAAAACGCTGTTTAAAGATTTCTCTCGTGAGGTTGCTTGTATTCCATGCCAATGATTTCAAATATCTCTTCTTCGCTTGATACAGGTATGGGTTCCCCTGGAACTCCTAAAAAGAACGGATGGAAAATTTAATCCTCGGACAGACTACATGGCGAATAACGGCACGCTCGCCCCGTTATTCGTCCTTTTATCCCGGCAAGGAGCCTGGTCCAAGACTATGATAACGAAAGGAAATGTTGACAGTTCTGTAACAAGTATGGACGCTCTGGTTAATTAAAGATTCAAATAACATGACTAACCTGTACTCCCCAATGGTCTGAGAAATCCAACAAAAGGAAAAAAAGACAGAATTAGTATTTCAATAACGCCCAAGGAAAGGGATCCTGCATGACGCTAAAGATGTCAAGATAAGGATATTACGTTGTTGATGGTGATGGAGCTGTGGAAGGTAAGGATCGATCAATATTGTGGATTTCTTAGTGATCAAGGAGCTGCTGCTGAGCAGCAGCAGCTGACGACGACGACGACGACGACGACGACGACGACGACGATGATGATGATGATCACACAGGGTTTTTGCAAAGAGATTTTACAGAGATTATGGCAAGAGAAATGTTGAGGACGCTAATGACAATGATGTGATGAGGATGATGATGATGATGACGATGATCACCCAGGCCTTTTGCAAGAGATTTTACAGAAAAAGAAAACTTTCAAAGGATGTACTTTTGACTCGGGATCCAAATACTTCTCGCAATTGGTAAGTTTGCGATGGCCAATTTCGAGCCCTATATGAAGATGTTCTCGAAGCATTATAACATGTAAAGTTTTTCGAAGGACGGTATATTACGGTTTGGAGATAAAGTCAAGAGAAAAGACAATTGATTACAACGAAGATATGTGAGCAATGACATTAAACTTGTAATCATTATAATGAGGAAAATATGAATAATGGTACCGTGTTGACGCAGATAATCTTAATTATTTGGACGATATTGATAATAGCGAAAATAATGATAATGATGATGATACTAACATACCTTATGGAGTATTCATTGATAGTAAACCGGTTATCCAGGGCATGTTGGCGCATTCTCCTGTTAAACTCATCACTACCGGTGAAGTAAAGAATTCCACAGTAGTACTGGTCGTTAGGAATTAGTCTGAAATATAAGGAGCTCATATCAGGACCAAGATACGCTGACTGTCCTGTAGACTAGTGCGTTTCAAACGTTTAAGCCACTCAGTTGATAGAACGCCAGTCATTCTGAGTAGGAGGTTACGTGGACAAACCTCAGGCAGGGTTAATAAAAAAATAATGATTATGATAGAATCATGTTGACTGTGATGAGGATCTTGTCTCAGTTCAGATAATCGCGGTGTGAAGACAGCCAATCCAGATGAGGTGTGGATGTGAACATGGGTTTCTTTCAACCACGTTAAATTTTTTGGGTAAGACCTTTTTCGCTAATACCGAAATGAAAGTGTGTATTCTAAGTCACGGAAAGGGAAATCTCAATGAAGGAAAGCAAATAATGACATTTCCTTGGCAGAAAATACACATTCAAAGGTGATGTTACACGGGACGATTCGCAACGGCGATTTTTAGCACAACACAGCGTTGCAATGCTGGAACAATGTAACCATTCGAAACATTCTCACAACAATGTTGCTACGCTGTGTTGCGCTAAAAATCGTCGTTGCGAATCGTCTCATGCAACATCACCCTCAGGGGGCTTTATCACGAGAATATTGCGGTTTTAGGTCAATTCTGTGCTGACGTCATGACTAAGTACCTTTACCCACACAGAAAGTGCTCCTCTAGCATTCTCACAACAATGTTGCTACGCTGTGTTGCGCTAAAAATCGTCGTTGCGAATCGTCTCATGCAACATCACCCTCAGGGGGCTTTATCACGAGAATATTGCGGTTTTAGGTCAATTCTGTGCTGACGTCATGACTAAGTACCTTTACCCACACAGAAAATGCTCCTCTAGAGTAATAATTCAAACATATTTCATCAGGGAGCACGCACCATAATAATTATTTTGGTGAAATTTTCGGCAGGCATATCATTAAAGGGGCTGTGTCACGGCAGTCCAGTTAATTTTCTTTAGTTTTGCCAATTACTCGCCCTCAATCGCTATGGAACTTAAAGTAAGGAAAGAAATTACATGTAAATGACAAAATCAGAGATCCGAGACAAACAAATATGTCTCCTGATCATTATTTTTGAAGTTGCAAGCAGCAGGGATCAACATTGAAAAACTGTTAGACTGAACAGTTTTCAAAAACCCTAATTTCAATCCGTTCCAGTCTACTTCAGTTTTGCCCATCCGTGGCATCTGTTGTTTCTGTTGTGTTATTTTAACCTTTCTTTAAAGTTGTAAGCGGTTATTTTCATGTTCTCTTAATTTCGTGACACAGCTCCTTTAACACTTGAGAAGGTTGGCTCAACTTTTTCAGGTTTCAATCCGTGTCCACCGTTGCCATCCGTTGCAAAAGACGGCGGCAAAAAGTTTCGATGCATAAAAATGGTCTCCACTAACAAAACTGGACCACTTTGTTTGGGAATTCAATTGTTTTGAAGGCATCAAGTTTTAGCTTTTTAAAAAGATAGCAAATAGCGTGACCTAGCCCTTTAATAGGGAGTTTAAGATACCACGACAGCGACGGCCACGAAAACGTTGCTTGAAAAGTGAATTTGCGTTCTTTCAATGCATTGTCAATGCCTATCCTGATTACTCCAACTCCTGCTCATTTACTTTGCCAATGCAAGCGAACTCTTTTTGAGCAGAATTCCTACGAACCATATTCAAGTTCAAGAAAGAGAAAGAAAATTTAGCCGTCGCTCGTTAACGTCCTCCATAAAAAGTGAAATTAGGCATTTTCCCGTCGTAGTCGTGCAGTGACGGTAAAGAAATGTACAAAAAAGCGTGATGCACGTGCATAGTTGTTGTTTTACTTATTCAACCTATTGCTTTTTTACGTTCTCGTTGTCGTCGTCGTCGTCGTCGTCGAAGTGGAGACCTTACGAAACCACGACGGCGACGGCAACGGGAACGTCAAAAAGCAATTGGTTTAATGAGCAAAACAACAACTCTGCACGCGCTTCACGCTTTTTTGTACATTTCTTTGCCGTCCCTGTACAACTACGACGTGAAATGACCAAAATTTAAGTTTACTCGGGAACGGGAACCATCTCTGTTTGAACTCGGGTGCGCTGCATTCTCTTCAGCTCCAACCCAGATTCCCTTCTTTTAAGTAACTGGGCCCCCAGAGATCATCGCGAAAAAAAGTGGAAGGATGCGAAGTATATTTTCAGCGAAGTTTTCATGGACGTGGCCCTTGTCGGATCGTAAGGTCCCTAGTATCTTAAAGTCCCTAATGATGTAACAATGTCAGGGTTTAGTTTCTATTAACTAAAAGTTTGCAAAATTACCAGCTTGTTGCTTCGTGGAAATTAGGTACTCTGGAATAAACACGAAGGACTTGCATTGGGCTTTTTGACGATTAATAATCTAGGAGAGCTGAAGCAACGACGATGCCAACCGCAACGGCAACGGCAAAACTGAGGCAATAGGTTAGATTAGCAAAACAACAGCTTTGCACGTGCATCACCCTTTTTTGTACATTTCTTTGCCGTAACTACACGACTACGACGTGAAAGTGCCTAATTTCACGTTTTGTGGAGGACGTGAACAGAAGACGACTTTCTTTTTTCCAAGTTTTCCTGAACTTTGATTCAGTCTTTTAGAATTCAACTCCAGAAAAATTGCCAACATTTGACGAGATAAACGAGATGGAATAAGCGCGATAAAGTTTGAAGCAGCGCGAATTCACTTTTTAACTGACGTTTTCATAGCGCCGTCGTCGCCGTCGTTGTTGCTTAAGCTCCCCATGAAATGTACAATGAGAATCTACATACCTTATGTCAATTCTTCTGTGTATCTTTTCCTTTGCTTTTGGCAAAATACAGACTCCATGTAAATGAAATAAGTACAAAATAGTCACTGACACGGTTTTGACTGTATGAACATTGTGGTTCAATTCTATTCTATTAAAAAAAAAACTTGCGTCACCCAAAACGTTGTTCATCTGCTCTAGCGAAGACATTTAACAAACGACAACTGACCGGCAACGGGTCATAACATCAACCCACACAGTGTTGAAGTTTTAACTAGTTTTAACTGACGAAATCACACTATCAATCACCGAGTCATGGAGACCATCGAGAGTAGTGTAGGAGCTGCTCGGAAGGTGTCTCCTAATTGGTCGCAGGAGACAATGAAGTTTTCGTTTTGCTTCAGACTGTTTTGCTCTGAGTTTTGGAAATTGTTTGTTAAAAGAAAAAAAATTGAACCACAAAATATACATACAGTATAGATGACGGCACTGAGCAAAAACGAATAAACAAGGAAACAAGGAAAGTAGTTTTCGCTAAAAGCTCTTCGTACGTATGAGATGGCAGCGGTCAGCAAAATCCTGACCCACCCGTTGCAAAAAACGGAAGGGTGAAAAGAGGCTCCTTAATTTTATACGTGGGTAGCTCGAAACTGTCATCATCTGACAAACAGTGCACTCATTTTATCCCCCTCTCTCCACAAATGTTCCGTTTTACTGATATTTTAAGCTACTCAAAGCCACAAGGAAATGAAAGAAGTCGAAACAAGGATTTGACGTTACACCTCGGAATCAAATTCGGAACCTCTCGAACAAAAGGCCCCTAGACTTTCAAAAAAGTCCTTCAACGGATTTAACCTCTCGCGATTTTGTCGCTCGCGGCCTAAAAAGCTCGCTCTGCTCGCTGGTCGACTTGTGGCAAGTCTAAGAAGGCCGCATACTAACTGTGTCGGTCTGGACAACACGGCTGTATATGCAATGCTATGACACACAGGAGTGTCTCAACAAAAGCTGACAGTCGATCAACCAACCTATTAAATTTATAAATGTGTCAGAAAACGTCTAGCACACCACAAGCGGTGCTCTAATCGGGATCACTTAGAATAGGACTGCGTTCTCTGCGTCGAATGCAATAAACTAAGTTAATAAATGACTAACTTAATCCGCATTTATATAAATGCTTAATTATTGATTAACTAATAAATTCTACAAAAGAATGAACACAGGGTTGCGTCAAACGAATAAATGTCTCATTAACTTACGGTTTCCTTACCATAAATTTCGTGTCCCCCAAGGATAGAGAATCAGTTACAAAACTTCCTTTCGATAGCGTGTCCACAACACCGTGTAGAAGAGCTTTCTACAAATAACAGCAAGAATATAAGAGCAAACTGATGATCTCACATCGCTGATGAAGTCCGAGCGATTCGGAAAAAAACAATTGAAGGTGAAGTTCATAATATGCAATGAGTCTCGGAATTATTTAGACGATAGTGTGATGCTGCCATGATTATGAACAACAATGTACTTTGGCAAACGAAAAGAAGGCGGATGGTGGGAGGGGGCGGTTGGTTTCGGGGGATTTGGAATACCGTTTGTTTTCACACTCATCACCATTGCTTTCTACGATACTTCCTTGTCAATGATACTTCGCAAATAAGAATGGTTTAACATGGCCTATTCACGGAAGTTTTGCTCAGGGTTCGTACTCTTTTGATCTCTTCAAATTCCATGACCTTCCATGACTTTTTTCAATGACGTTTTCAAATTTTCCAAGACCTCTGGTTTAGTTGTCACCTTCAAAAATTTTCAAAATTTTCCTTGTTTTGGGGTATTTTTTGACCTTAAGCAGTTCAACAGAAACAAACTATGGTGTTCACCAAAAAGCGTGCCGTTTGCGCTGTTTAATTACTCCTGTCTATCTTACATTGTCCTCGCTTTGCCATCTGCAGTATCCAAACTACCAAACAAACCTTTAATTTTCCATCACTTTCAAGGAACGATAATTAAATTCCATGACTTTACAGGCCTGGAAAATGAAATTCTAAAATTCCACGACTTTCCAGGTTTTCCATGACCTGTACGAGCAACGTTTTTTTTCGACGATTTGAAAGTGAGATCGCTTCGTTCGCACGCGAGAGCGAATTGGAATGCGAGAAAAAACGAAAGGAACTATTTTCTTTTTTTCCCCACCCCCACCCAATTCAACTTGCGGACAATAAATCCCTCGCGGTTTTTCTTTCCATAGGCGCCCTACACAATATCTGAAGAGAAAAGAGAGGGCCTGTGAACAGGCTACGTTGAACACTAATGAGTTTAAGCTATTTAGGGAGAATATTTGTAGGAGTATTTTTTTGCTGTATACTATTACTGACCTTATCAAACTCTCTGTCAGTTGAGTTGAATGATGGGTGCGTCAATAACACATCGATATCTCCACTGGAGGTGGCACCTGATGATATATGAAAAATTGATATGTGAGTAATCTACCATCAGAGATACCACGAACTGCCGCTTATAAGCTCTGGGCTTATAGGGGAGCGCTCGTAGCACCAGGGGTAAGAAAAAATGGTAACCTATAGATGAGAGAAATTTTGGTAATCACGTGACCGTCCGTATATCCATACGTCCGTTCACTCCATGTAAGCCAATGTCAAATGTCACATTAACTACCAGCTCTATACTACGACATGTGAAGATGAATTGGCAGCAGTTGCAGTCTTTTTTTTTCCGACTAAATTTTACTGTCTACACTGACGTGGATAGCAGAGCAAGAGCAAGGGAGTGACAGATAACAAAAACAAAGGAGACGAATTTCGTTGGAAGAAAAACTTTTATGGGCTGTTCTAAAGGGGGGTGGCTAGCCACCCAATCCAACCCCCTGGATCCGCCTCTTGGTTGTTACAATCATCAGACAATAGAAGACCACTGTCAATACCTCTTCTGAAACTACCACAAACTGTTGCAATAATTTCCTTGTCAAACTCTGCAATCTTCTCCATGATCATTTCCTAATTTAAACAAAAATAAAATTTAGACATAGGAAGCCTAAAGTAACAACTAACAGTCATATTTTAAAAGATTTTGAAATTACAAAATTAGCCAATGAGTAATGAATTCCGAATCCTGAATCTAAGTAAACCTTCTAGGCCTATCCAGATGCTGGTAAAGAACAAAGAGAGTGGTAAGGGGAAAAGACCGTTCACGCTGCACTCACATGATTAATGCCCTGCTGAATGTCTTCATACTTTGACTCGCTTGTAATGATACTCCATTTTTTTGGTTTCATGTAGGTTTAAAGACGGTTCAAGACAAACTTGATCATTTTCAGAAAACTGGTTTCAAGGACGTTGATCACGAGGATTGTTTGTTTTTTGTATGGGATTTGCAGCTAACAGGCAATACACACTCATAAACACAGCCTCAACAAGATTACCCCCCGCCTCCCCGAAGGGTGTTTGTCTTGTAACACACAACACTGTGCAGCGGGAGAGGAGGAGGGTCAACCCAAATTGCATTTTCTTCACCTGAAACACAAAGTGTCCCAAAAAGAAAATTTTAGTTTCATAATAAAATTATGTAAGGGAAAGATTTTATGACAATTTGAAACTATCAAAGTTTACAAGGATTTGTATGGCAATAAAAGCCATTCAAGCATGACTGGGTGGCAAGAGTTGTTTTTCCGACCTAAATCCTTTTAATTTTTTGGCGGGTCTTGCAACCGCTGCTTTTGAAGTGTACGGCTGAAAATTTACAGGTCACCTAATTCTAATATACTCAATCAGTTCCTTCTAACAAAATTATTCAAAAGCGAACTGTTTTCGTGTTTACAAAAAGTTGATCACGTGACCAACTTACTATACTGTTGCAAAAGGCCTATTAGCAGAGCTATTCTAGATGGATAACAAAGCAGTTCAAGGTTTTATCACAGACCCGTAATTTTAGCATCTCCTCTCGTGGGATCCGTTTCTCAAATTCCTCAACATACCTAAGGATAGATAAAAGCTATTATTTCATAGGGGGCCATGCAACAGAGTGAAAAAACAATTTCCACTCAGTACTGAATGGAGGACAAGAACAATCCTTGTGATCAACATACTTGAAACCAATTTTCTGATGATGATTAAGTTTGTCTTGAACTTGCTTCAAACCTACATGGAACCAAAAAAATGAGTATAATATTATTATTATTACAAGCTAGTCTAACTTAGATACCTGACAGTTATAAAGTTCAGCATAAACCACAGCAGGATTAGCTTGTGTATCAGTTGGTAGAGCATTTGACAGCAGACTGGGAGGTTGCAGGTTTGATCCCTTGGGCCGGACCATTACTTGGGGTCTTAACCCTTTAAGCCCTAACAGTGATCAGCATCAAATTTCTCCTTGTAATATCAGTGCTTTGTAAAACACAGTGGACACGAGAATTACGGACATGATCACACAAGATGAATTACGAATGCGCTTGATATTTTATCAACTTCTCCCCACTACATCTGTAGAAAATGACTAGGGGTAACAAATGAGAATTCGAACTTTGATCTTAGGGTTTAAAAGGTTAAAATAACTGAGAAATGAAAGTACTGCCCCTTCAAACAGCTAGACCTTTGCATGGTTTGGATGACCATGTAAAGGGGCGGTCCTGTCTGTAGTAGGGAATGTAAAATAGTGTCCTCAATAAAGTGCCTTTTTGCCAAATACATTGACACTTAAATAAAGGTTTTTTAGGTTGACTATAGTCCCAGTTGCCCAAGTTCCAATGAAGTCAGGGCTTGAAATTAAAAAAATCCTCACGTCACCTTTTGGCGACCAACGGGAGAAATAATAATCATGGTCACCAAATGCAAAATTTTTAGTTGCCAGGTTTGTATAATGATGATGCAGCTCCCAGTATGGCACGATCCATCGTATTTGATTGTTTTAAAATATCGTGGACAGAAGACGGTATAAATTTGGAGGTAAACTGGCTTTGTTTATAAGATTTGGCACATGTTTTATGATGAAAGCAAAGCAAGAGAAGGTAAAATGTTTGTTTTAACTTTACTCTTTTAATTTAAATCTAAATCATAGAGAGATCTGGCCACCAAAGTGGCCACTAAACCAGAATTTTAGTCGCCAAGGCAAAAAAGTTAGTCACATTGGCGACCATATCAGTCACAATTTCGAGCCCTGGAAGTTGATTCACACCAGTCAATCTCAACTTAAATGTTTTAGCTATGGCTAGAAAATTTTCAACTGGTTCCTCTCCTGCCAAAGTTGGGATTTTTAACTTGTAATGTTACATCTGAAATGTTTGATTCATTGGTAGAGGTTAATATCACTATCAATAAGTACTTGTTATTAGTATCAAGTCATTAGTTTGTGACATCAGGCCATGTACTATATAAAAACTCATGTGCACAGCAAAAATGGAGCAATATTAACCTTCCAGTGATGTTATTCCTTCATCGACAAATTTTCTGGCAGCAGCAGGTCTAAAACAAAATAAGTTGAAGAAACAAATTCATTGCACAGGTCTTGACAGTTGTTATCCATCCTTTAGCCAACGGTAATGGAAGTCTTAGTGTATGATTCAATTATATATCCTTATTATTTCGAATTGATACCAGTTTTAATTTGACTTTCCAGGCCTGAAAATGAAATTCTTAAATTCATGACTTTCCAGGTTTTCCATGACCTGTGCGAACCCTGTTTAAAGGTGACAACAATAAATGTTGGCTGTTTTCTCCGGCTATCAATTATGACTTTAGCCATGTAACTTCATCAAGTAAGCAAACTTTAAGCACTCAATACTCTTCTGTAACAAAAGCAACTAGCTGGTGTTAATACTGACCCAATGCGAGATACTCTTGTTAACTGTTGAATTGCTTTTGTAGTTTCATCACCTCTGATCTAGAAAAAAATCAAGACAGACTTGACTATTTTATTGGTACTATATACAGTGTATTGTATAACTGGTACTAAAAATTAATGCTTTGTAAGGTGGTCCAAACCTATTTATATGGGTGTTGGTTATGTTTTTGAATCACGTTTTTCAGCTGGAATGATTTAACTGATTTGGATGATTTTTGGTATCCTTTATAAAGAATGGTGGAAATTTAAGAAAATGTTATTTATTTTATTGAAGGTGTAAAAACATTTGAGATATCGCTATACATTTAAAACTACATTTTTTTTACAAAAAATGCAAATAACTTGAAAATCCTATGACAGATTTTTCCCTAACTTCAGCAATTAAGCCTCAGATCAGAGCACACAAGTTTTACATCAGGTTTGAAGTCAATCATGACCCTACAACTTGCTGCACAGGATGCTGGTCAAATTTAACCTTAAAATGCTATGCTACAATTTGGGAAAGTTGATGCACAAGTGGGGGAAGAGTGCTAAAGGACTATATCTCCTATCTGAAAGGAGAAACGGGCTTAAGTTACAGTAGACTGTAGTACATTTTATAGTACCTTTTCAAGCTTTTCCAACTTGCCTGTTTTGATAAACTCATCAATCTTTTTTCCAATCTTATCTCCAATTCCAGGCTTGCAAGATTATGAAAACAAACAAAAAAGTCAATGATAAAGGTACTGTCAGTGAATGTACTTGAATGAAAACAATTTTATGAACAGACAACTTTCCAATGTGAGAATTAAAATTACTCAATTTCCTGGTGGATTCCATCTTAATTATCTGAAAGACATTAATTCCACGTGGGCAAAGCCTATTCATGAAGTTTCTCTTAGGTAACCTTGCCACCTTTTTATCATTTTTGAGTGGCAATTAAAATGTAAATTAATAATAACACAGTCATGTAAAAGAAACTGTTCAAGGTAAAGCATGTCCCACCAATTTCTCATCCTCTTTCTTATTTTTTCTCACATCAATCTGAACCAGTTGGGATTTCCAAGGGGTACAAGATGGACCCGGTCTCTGATATAGCCATTACTGTATCACCATGCAATGCCTGTTCCGATAGTTTAATTTCTTGGAGTTACAGATGAACATGATTACCAAATGATGCAATACAAAAGGTTGAAAAGACACTGAGCAATAGTCAAATCACCAAATGAAAGCTATAAAACCTACAGATGTTTCCACAATACCATGAGACACCCCCTTTTGGCCACTAGTAACCAGCTGCATGACAAACAAAAAGTGGCTGTGTAATTAAGACACTAGGGATAGACCATACAAGTTAACATTCTGGTTGTACTGACAGTACAGGGAAACTGGGGGGGGGGGGGGTATATTTAAGAGTTAATTTACAAAAATGCAGAGAGAACAAACTGAAAGCAGGTAGAAAAGAAAGCAAGTTTTACAGCTTGCTGATTGGGCAAGCTGCAGCTAGCATGTACTAGCCCAAAAGTCATTATAACTAGCCCCCCAAAAAATTGGTGATGATGAGCAGGATTGATTACCAGCCCGATCGCAAAATCTTCTAGCCCCAGGTTATCGGACACTACTCTTTTTGCACACTGGAAAGACAACGTGAAAATCCCCACCCTCCACCACTCCTCCACCCAGACCCCAACCCCCGAACCAAACACATGGTTCTGAAAAGCCTGATGGATGGGCAGGTCCAGAAAATAATTCAGATAAAGGGGACCAATACGATTTGCTGATTGATTAAAGAGTTCTGAGAACATCTGGGTCATCAAGAAAAAAGGATGAGCTGCAGCCCATCTGCCACTTAATCGATCTACCAATATAACAGACGTATACCTTAGTATACCTATTCTCACCAATTTACGGGCTTCTTCTCCACTTTTGATCCTTGTGGGATGTTTGGCTAATACAGATGCTGCTTTCCTGTGAGCACAATATAACATAACTTACAAATTTGTTTCTTTCTGTATCTGTTGATAGAGCCATTAGCCGCACCTAAATATGGGGCAATAAATGCCTTAAGCAAGAATCTCTTATATGCCTTGGTAGATTATGATATAGGCTCTAGAAGAGCTGAGAGAGATAAATATTTGTGCAACATTCATCAATAACATATACAATATTTGTACATATTAGTCTTTCTAATCAAAGTCTTCTATTTCCCTCACCTGTTTCATGGAAATAGAGGGCTTAAATGAGAAAATTCTTCACAAAAAAAGATTACACATTACAGAACTAATTTGCTGCTCCAGCAAATGTTTAAAGGTTATCTATTGCTCCTGTTTGTATTTTATCTATACTGTATTGGACTCAAAAATTTAATCAATCAAAAGTAATCAATGATATTTTACAACTAAAAGATTGCTTGAATCCAATGTCTAAACCATACATTTTTGGTCCCTTCTTAATTATTTGTACGCTGGATTTAAATAAACAGTGATCTGTCTTAAGCTCCAGCCCGCCGAAATTTATGCTTAAAATTTACATTACTGTAAGAAGAATGGTGTACCTGTCTTCCAGTGGAGGTGAAAAGTGTTAAGACCTTTAATTTTTCCACTGATATTACTAAAACTAGCTACTCTCCCCTCCCCCCACCCCCAACCCCCCATTTGAAACAATGTTGAATTTTGAGCATAATGCATGGAAATGAAACCTTTTTAGGCATAACATTGCCGGCGGGGAAGGGGGGAAGGATAAGGGAAAAACTCAAAGCTGATAAAATCATTTACAGTAGAGTTCTATGTAACAATTATACTCTAAGGGTTGTCCAACAGTGTCCCATGTTCTTTTGACCTCCACTGTACGTAAAATCTATTCTCAGTCTAAGCCAGTATTCAAACCATTTAATTCAGAATTCCCTTTGTTTGCAAGACCTAAATATTCAATGAACACAAAGGAAATTCTACTTTGACCTGGCAAAGGATTTTTTCTACGCAACTCACGGCCAACTGCTGAGCATAAGCTTATTACGTAAAATAATCCAGCGAGAAAAAAAACCTATATCAGAGAAGAAAATTTACTATTTGCAATACCTGTATGCATTGTATTTGTGTATTTGACGCGATACATTCTTCTCGTATTCCGCAAGCTCTAAAAACGTTTGAAATTCAAAGAAAAACGATTTTCATGATCAGTATGAAAAACGTCTCATCAAAAGTAAATCGCGACATTAAGTTTAAATTTAGCCTATAAACTAGAATGCTACGGTGAATATAATTCTTTTTATGGAGAAGTTACTTTTGCGTGATACGTTCCTGCCAGCCAAAAGTGCCCTTGGCTGTTTGGAAACCGGAACAACCGAAAAATATTACTGAAATATTTGGTATGTAGTCTATTATTGAGCGAGTATTAACCTTGAGCTTTGATATGCTAAGCGGGTCAATAAATGAAGTCATGCATGGAAACAATAAATAAATGAACCTCACCGCTGAGAAATTCACAAAAATCACTGTTTGGATTTTGATCTTGTGCTTTTCGTTTGCTCATTTTTACGGCTTACACCGAGCCAAGAAAAATTAACAGACGGAGGTCGCCATGTTGTTTTTGGAAAAGCGCGCGAGGCATGGTACCAATTTTGCATCATTCGGAAATCGACAATGTCGATGTCACGAAAAAGAGTAGGAACAAAAAGATCGCTTCTCTTTCAATCTGAAAAAATCTCCATTAGTCTTAGCAAATGAGACTTAGTGCGATTTTCTTCACAAAAAATCTGAAGGACTTTGTTTTTCTTCGATTTAAAAAAAAACCATAAAACCACAACATATTTACGTGCAAAGTTCCGTGACAAAGAACAAAACACCGATCGTCTTACGTAGCGCAATCGATTAGTTAGCTTATGACGTCACTGATTGATGACTTGCAAGGACATCACAGACTGCTTCAACGCGCGAAGCATACGGGGTTGAAATGAGGAAATTTAGCAGTTGTAATGAAAAGAGAAGGTTGATCGTGGAGTAATTCTATTGATTTTGGAGGAAAACCACACGAAATCGCTCATAGGTACTTTAAACTGCACAAGACCGCGTGTTTAAAGACGACGCTAACTTAACAAACCGTCCAACTACCGAAAGCCTTACACTGGAGCCTGTTGAGACTTTCGGCTGTTTAATGCTCTCGTTAAGCTCATTACAATCGCATCTTCGACAACACAGGACTTA